AAAGACGCCTCGGGCATTCATTGTGTACGCCTTCTTTCTCCCGCCCAAGTTCCATCTGCAAAAAACAGCTCGTCGACACCCTCAACCAACAGCCCGCTACATACCCCGATACCCCCAAGCCTCTGCCTCCTTATCATCTCCCAGACAACCTAGGCCTTGGTGACACACTGCTCGCAGATGGCATTCACAACCTGTCCAACCACGGGAGCAAGAGCAGCACCATAGTTCTGAGCGACACAAGGCATCTGAGCAGTGATGGGGCAAGAGGCGACTGGAGGAGGGCTGGTTTGCGGGCGCGCCGAGATGAAGGCGATGGAGGAGAGGAGGGTGATGTGGATGGTGGTGTACTGCATCTTGGCTGGATTTTGGGTTGGGAATTGGGCAAATGTTAACATCAAGGGAGGCAAGTCACTGTGTAAGTGTGTCTGATGTTGCCATCTTCATTGACAACGTTGAGCTTTGTACACGGTCATCAGCCCTCTTCGTCTTCCAATCTCACAGACTTCTGTGATCAGAGTTTTGATGAAGACTATTTCCCCATGGCAGATGTCCGTAGGTAATCATGCACTTGACATGACGGCCATATTGCCCGTAAAGGTCAACCAGAAACGGCGAAGTTGGAGACATATTAAGAAGATTTGCACGACTCTGACTTGTGTAGATGAGTCCGAGGTGGTATTCGAGGTCGCCGATGAAGAGACGAGTCCGTCGACAGCACTGTGCAGTTGGAGAAGTCCGGCCGGTAAAGTTCACACGGGAATGAGATGGAGTTGCTTCCTCATCATCCAACGCGTGTACCATATCTCAGGAAAGATTGATCGACTAGCAAGTGCCGTCATTCAAACGAGTCCGTTCCCAGAAGTCGGGGAAAATCGTCGGTCCGTCGCATGAATTGAAAGGCCTGCGATGACCTACATTCCGGGTACTAACACCGTATATAGCTCATCTCGAAGCTATCAAGGTCAAAGGCGATGCCGACCATCGGAGCTCAGCCACGAGTCATAGAGGCATTTCATCGCATTCGACCTCGTCCATGGCGATTCAATCCCAACATGATGTCGTTACATTGGGATGGCTGGAAGTTGGTTTGCGGCGGGAAACGATTCCGAGATGCCGTTAGTGAAGACGAGGGAAATTTTGGTGAGGGGGAAGCTTGTTGAGCTTGGGGAGTTTGTTCCTTGTGAGCTGATCGTTGTCGTAAACTGGGCTGTGAGGGGTCTGACTCTGCTGAGAGGAGTCCGTCGCTGTGAGGGGATTGATTGATTGAAGGGGGGTCGAGAAAAGTTTTTGGACCACAATCCGACAGCGCCCGAGACCACCAAGTGCCTCACCAAGGCCACTCATGCTTGGTTGACATGACGCCCCGGGTCAACCCGCCATCACCTCCAGGAAGCTCCACTCCAACATGTGGCGCTAAATTGAGGCCATTGATGGCCCTGGGCTTGGCGACTGAACGGCAGTGGTCGCAGACAGTGGGGAGACGCTGTAACGTCGCTGAATGGAGCTAAGGAAACATCATTGGAGATTGGCTTTGGTTGTGTGTGAATCATCCGATGAGTTCGACACCAAGGCCGATCTAGGCTCACACCTTCTTCCACTTCTAAAGACGGGAGCTGTCCCCCCCCCTTCTTGATCGTCCTCTTTCCCTCTCCTCCCTCTTTCCCTCCTTCTGTCTTTCCTCTCACCATCATCACCACCCGACTGTCCTCCCATCGATTCTTCTCTGTCGACAGCAAAATCGCCCACGATGCTTTCCTCGGTCAGACTTGTCACGCGCAGAGCTGCTGTCAGAAGCGCTTTTGCTTCCCCTGGTCGCAGCTTGCTTGCTGTCCGCGCCGCCTCGTTCTGGGCCAACGTCCCTCAAGGTCCTCCTGTAAGTTTCTTTTTCCATTGGTAGAGGTACCTATCGATATGATGCTAACCATGATTACACGCGCAACAGGATGTATGTGGTCATTCCCCAGATTCCCACACCTCAACATAGCTTCAAGCTGCTAGCCCGAGCTATCTCCGTCCTCGCGCTGTGTGTCCGTCTTTGCCTGTCGCTAACCCCGCCCTCTTCGTCGCGTCTGACAGGCCATTCTCGGTACGTAATGCGCGAGCGACGTTAACATCAAGACTTACAAACTGACATCGTCCAGGTATCACGGAAGCTTTCAAGGCCGACACCTTCGACAAGAAGATCAATCTCGGTATGTCAATACCCCGAGCGCATGCCATGTGCCCCTCATCCTACATACCGGCGACTCCACTACCATCTACCACCATGACATAATGAAAACCGCGACCAGCTTCAACAACAGCTAACCGATTCGGACAGGTGTCGGTGCCTACCGCGATGACAAGGGCAAGCCTTACGTCCTCCCCTCCGTCCGCAAGGCCGAGGACAAGGTCATCCACTCCCGCATGAACAAGGAGTACGCCGGCATCACTGGTGTCCCCGAGTTCACAAAGGCTGCCGCCGTTCTCGCCTACGGCAAGGACAGCTCCGCCCTGGACCGTCTCGTCATCACCCAGTCCATCTCGGGTACCGGTGCCCTCCGCATTGGTGGTGAATTCCTCAACCGCTTCTTCCCCGGAGCCAAGAAGATCTACATCCCCACCCCTTCGTGGGCCAACCACGGCGCCGTCTTCCGCGACTCCGGTCTCGAGGTCGCCCAGTATGCCTACTACGACAAGAACACCATCGGCCTCGACTTTGAGGGTCTGATCCGCGACCTCAAGGCTGCCCCCAACAGCTCCATCTTCCTCTTCCACGCCTGCGCCCACAACCCCACCGGTGTCGACCCCACCCCCGAGCAGTGGAAGGAGATCGAGGCCGTCGTCAAGGACAAGGGCCACTACTCCTTCTTCGACATGGCCTACCAGGGTTTCGCTTCCGGCGACATCCACAAGGACGCTTTTGCTGTTCGCTACTTTGTCGAGCAGGGCCACAATATCTGCCTTGCCCAGTCCTTCGCCAAGAACATGGGTCTCTACGGCGAGCGTGTCGGTGCCTTCTCCATTGTCTGCGCCGACGCCGACGAGAAGAAGCGCGTTGACTCGCAGGTCAAGATTCTTGTCCGCCCTCTCTACTCCAACCCCCCCATCCACGGTGCCCGCATCGCCGCCGAGATCCTCAACACCCCCGAGCTCTACGAGCAGTGGCTTACCGAGGTCAAAGAGATGGCCGACCGCATCATCAAGATGCGCGCCCTCCTCAAGGAGAACCTCGAGAAGCTCGGCAGCAAGCACGACTGGAGCCACATCACCAGCCAGATCGGCATGTTCGCCTACACGGGTCTGACCCCCGAGCAGATGGAGAAGCTGGCCAAGGAGCACAGCGTGTATGCCACCAAGGACGGCCGTATCTCGGTCGCTGGTATCACTAGCGAGAACGTTGGCCGTCTCGCCGAGGCCATCTTCAAGGTCAAGGGTTAGATGTGTTGACGAACAAAAAAGTTTTAGACTTGCAAAAAAAAAGTTATAAAAGGCAGTTTGGAGTTGGTTGGTTGGTTGTGGCGGGACTTAATGATGGTTTCTTTTTTTTTTTTTTCTGTTTTCTTGAATGGTACACAAAAAGGGGGCGGTTTTGGCTTTTCACGTAGCTTGTATGATGAATAATGGTACATGACGAATTCAGAAGTCTATGGAGCAGTTCCCTTGTACATGATTTTGCATTGTGGACTTGAGGCGTTTGGATAGTTTGTCAGTGAAAGTCGCCGGTTCTCAAGCAGGCTCATCCGCTTAGACCCTTTTTTTGACCATCGTTAGTAGCCCTGTACATGAACTTTTTACATCCGTAGATAGCTCTCGATAAGATACTGCGAATTTGTTGGATCGTTTCACTGGTATCACGAAGTCCAGTCGTCCACAATACCTGCCTTCCTATCTCTCTAAAATCCCATTTTTTATACACAGAAAGATATGGTACAGCCGTCACCTCTCCATCGACTAGACGGTAATCCGACCCTGTTCGAAGCACGAACCTTTATAGCTCAGCAAAACCTCCCCCTACGCCATCTTGGTGGGCTTCGGCTCCTCCTTCATAAACAGATCCTCCTCCTCTCCCAGCCCAAACTCCTCCGTCTCCGCCTTGTTAATCAACCGATCCGCCTCCTCCTTCAACTGTCCCTTACTCTTAGGCTCCTTTCCCTCCGCAAACTGGATCCCCGCAACCTGGAACTCCTTCAACTGCTCCTCCAGACTCTTTTCTTCTTCTTTGGCCTGAGGAGACAACCCCAGCGCCTCCCTTTCCTTGGCGAACCGCTCCCTGATTTCAGGCGTCTGCATGATTCGCCACCGCAACATCCACCCCCAGGGCCCCAGCTCCTTGACGCGCGCCGCCTTGTGGCCAAGCAAGTACTCGTCCAGCCCACCGACTTTGTCAATGGTGCGCAAGACGCGAGTAGTCACGCGCGTGCGCACAAAGACGCCAAGGGACTTGGACCAGAGCCGCTTTTGCTGTACGTTGGGACGCCATTTGCGGCGCGTCTTGATTTCGTTGCGCTTGGAGACGTTGTTGCCGAAGCGGATCAGGGCGGAGCCGTAGAGACCCGTGTTGGATTGGTGGTAGACGCGGCGGGGGCCGTACGGGTACGAGGGGATTTCGATCTTGAAGTCCTCGGGGACGGAGGTAGAGTCGGGGAGGGGGACGCGGCCGGAGACGTTGGGGATGGGGATGGAGGAGGAGGGGACGCGCGGTTGGTGGTAGAAGTGCGGGGTGGTGGTTGTTAGGGTGCGGAGTTGGTGGCCGAGGGTGCTGGCCCGGAGGCAGGGGCGGGGGAGGAAGGACGACATTTTTGGATGGTGTGATGTGGATGGGTGCGCGATGGGTATCTTTTGGTTGTTGCGCAAGGCGATTGGTATGGGATGTCGCTCGCCGGGACCGAGATAGTAAAAGCGACGGCGCAATTAATGGGGTTTGGGACGGGCGGGCGGCTATTCTGTCGCTGTCGTCGTTGTAGTCGTGTCCGCGTCGCCGGAAAGTGGAAATGTCTCGGACACAGTCAAGGGTTCGAGATTCGAGGTCCGCGGCCTGGGCGGGACTCACACTGGGCTGGAATCGGGGGGGCGGCGTGATGGAGTCCGGGTCGGGTCCTCTGGCGGCTCACAATCGGATCCGGCACGCGGGACGAATTTGTTTGCCAAGCCGGGTCCGTGCTCCAATTGCTGGTGTTGCAGTTTGTGAGTGAGCAGCGGAAGAAAATTAAGTGGAGCCCAGAGCAAAGCTGGAGAAGCGGGGCTCGATCAGCTGCTTTCGCGGGGCAGCTCGCGAGTGATCCTTGTTCGAGTAGCTTATCGGAGCTTATCAGTTGTGATGGGAGAGGTACCTTGATGGGACACAACGCGCTTTCATTTGACAGAACATCGTCAAGAACACATTTTAACAGCACGGATGGACCGAGCAACTAAACAGCGACTCAAGTTCATCTAATATCAACAATGCTCCCGCCAATTGACAGCTCCGTACTCAAAAACAACCCCCAGTTCGCAAACCTCTACAAGGGCTTGACGGAGCTCATCCTCAACGATGATGGCTCAACCAAGCTTCATCCACAAAATCCAGTGGCCCAAGAGCGCAAGGCAGTAACTAATGTAAGCAATTTATTTTGATTGCGTTCCCTACCTACACATTTACGTCTAACAGACTCCAAAGGAACTAAACAAACATCGCCTTGCCGCCACCACCGAACACCTCCTCATCCACGCCCTCTCAACCACCAGTCCCGATCCCATCCCCATTTCGGCGGAACAAGAGTTCAACCAAGATCCTTCACTTTCAAGTGGTCTCCAACCACTACTCATTATTCCACCCAACCTCAAACAACCACTAACCGACCTCCTCCTTCTTCTCCCCTCCTTCCTCTCTCTAGACTTCTTTTCCTCTCCCGAAACCCCCCCTCTAGACTCCGACTCCCTCTTACTAATCCTAACCTCCCCTCCCCTTTCCCTTCTTCCTACCCTCTTACCGTACCTCGGTCCCCTCCTATCAACAACCCTCCACTCTCAAGCTTCCCACCTCGTCCACCTCGCCAATCACCTTTCTCATCCCTCAATATCTACTACTACCACCAGCAACCCTACTTCTACACCCCCTCTTACAATCCCCACCCTCCCCACCATAATCTCCTCTCTCACCACCTCAACCCTAAACCTCCACTCCTCAATCCTCCACTCCCGTCTCAACACAGCCGAAGCAGTCCGCGACCTCCTCTCCCAATACTCTACGGCTTTCACCCTCCTAATCAAGACTCTCGAAGCCAAACATGGTCCTATAGCGCGCAGTCTCGAATTTAAGGCAGGCGAGACTGCCTTACTAGCGCAAAAGGTAGAGAAGGAGAGCGAACTTGCTGTGTTGGGGGTAAGAAGGGAGGTGTATACGCCTGAAGTTAAAAGGGCATTAAGGGAGTGTAAGGAGTGGTTGGTTGGTGAGCAGCAAGGGTTGAGAGATAAGATTAGAAGGGGGGAGGAGGTGCTGGGGGGGTATGGTGTTGAGGTTCATATTGAGGGAGAGGGAGAGGGGGAAGAGAAAAGGGGAGACGCGGAAAAGGAAAAGGTGATGAGGGAGATTGCGAGGGTTTATGGCGAGATGGAGAGGGAGGTGGATGTTGTAAGGAGGGATTTGGAGCGGTTGGGTTTGAAAGGGGTGAGTGATTCTGGGTAATGGGTGGATGTGTTGCTGGGTTGTCGCGGATATGAAATATGGGTTATGGGTTACGGGTTATGATCAGGGCGTTGTGATTGTTATTGATACCAAGGATTGCTTTAAAAGGGAATGAATAGTATTTGGTCGATAGCAGTCGGTGCGATTAATTTGTGTTACTGGGGGGGCATCACTAATACATCGGCATCACAGGCAACGAATGGAACAGTCAGGCACCTTAACAGGGAATCTATTGAATCCATTCAACCGGTCTTACCCGGTGAACAGCATATGGTTCAGATGGTGTAAAGAATCGAAGCTATATAGCATCAAATGCTCAGACTTGTGGTGCTTGATCTGTTTTCCAAGACATGACTAGCACTTAGAAGCGCAAGTCCCAGCCAATCTTGGGGCCAATAATAGGAAGCTCATCAGCAACGCTCTGAACATCCTTGTCACCACGGCCGGACAAGCAAATGACAACATCCTCATCCGGCTTCATGGTCTTGGCCAGCTCCAGAGCGCCCCAGATACCGTGAGAAGACTCCAGCGCGGGAATGATACCCTCCAGCTGGCTCATCAGACGGAAACCCTCAAAGGCCTGGGCATCCGTGGCAGCCACGAACTTGGCGCGCTCGGTATCCTTCCAGTTGGACAGCTCCGGGCCGACACCGGGGTAATCAAGACCGGCAGAGATGGAGTGGGTGTCCTCGATCTGGCCGTACTGGTTCTGCAGAATGTAGGTACGGACACCGTGCAGGACACCCTTGCTACCGGCGGTAAGGGTCGCACTGTGGCGGGGAGTGTCGACACCGTCACCGCCGGCCTCAACACCGAGGAGCTTGACGCTGGGGTCGTTGGAGAAGGGGTAGAACATGCCGACGGCGTTGCTACCACCACCAACGCAGGCGACGACAGCATCGGGGAGCTTGCCGCGCTTCTCCAGCATCTGCTGCTTGGTCTCGTTACCGATGACGGACTGGAAGGTACGCACAATGGTGGGGAAGGGATGAGGGCCGATGGCAGAGCCGATGATGTAGTGGGTATCGGCAAGGTTGACGACCCAGTAGCGGAGAGCCTCGTTGACGGCGTCACGGAGGGTGCGGCTGCCGGCCTCAACGGCGACGACCTTGGCGCCGAGAAGCTTCATGCGGAAGACGTTGAGAGCCTGGCGACGGACATCCTCGGCACCCATGAAGACGGTGCACTCCATGCCGAACTTGGCGCACACGGTGGCAGTGGCGACACCGTGCTGACCGGCACCGGTCTCGGCAATAATCTTCTTCTTGCCGAGTCTGCGGGCGAGCAGCAGCTGGCCAAGAGCGTTGTTGATCTTGTGGGAACCAGTGTGGTTGAGATCTTCACGCTTGAGCCAGATGTTGGCGCCACCAGCGTACTCGGTGAGACGCTCGGCCTTGTGAAGCTGACCGGGACGACCCATCCAGGGGTAGTAAGAGCGGTACTCTTCCCAGAAAGCGGGATCGTCCTTGATCTTGTTGAAACCCTCCTCGAGCTCGGACAAGCAGTCCATGAGCGCCTCAGGGACGTACTGACCACCGAACTCGCCGAAACGCTTGGGAATGGTGCCGTGGAGAGCGGCGAGCTGAGCGTCAATGTCGGCCTCGGTGATGACGCCGTCGACGGTGGCAGTACCCACGGGTTCCTTGGCAGCTTCGAGGGCCTCGCCCATGTTGAGCTCGTGAGCGGACTGCTCGAAGTTGCGTCCGCACAGGTAGGAGCAGTACTCCTGGACAGCCTTGACCTCCTCACCCTTGGCGGCCTTCTGGAGAGTGGTGATGATCATGCTACCAACAACGACACCGTCGGCAATGGCGCCAACCGAAGTGAAGTGGTCGTGGGTGCTGACACCGAAACCAACGGCAGCGGGCTTGTTGCCGCTGTACTTCTTGACGCGGGCGAGGAGCTCGGGAAGGTTGGCGTTGAGAGTGCCGGAAGCGCCGGTGACACCCTGGCGAGAGACAACGTAGATGAAGGAGTCGGCGAGCTGGCAGAGGACGCGCATACGGGCGTCCGAGGTGGCGGGCGCGATCAAGGGGACGTAGGAGAGACCGCCGCGGGTGCAGAGCTGGCGGAAGGAGACGGCCTCCTCAGGGGGCAAGTCAACAATGATGAAGCCGTTGACGCCGGCCTCCTTGCAGTCGTTGAGGAGACGCTCCTCGCCGTAGCTGAGCAGAGGGTTGTAGTAGCCCATGAGCATGACGGGGGCCTTGAGGCCGCGCTGGCGGGCGTCGCGCACCATCTGCAGGGTCGACTGGAGGGTAACGCCATGCTGGAGAGCAATCTATAGGGAAACGAGAAGTGTCAGAGAGACGTGTTATGCGCCATGGTGATGCGGTGCTCTTTTTTCTTACAGTGTTGGCAGTCTGGATGGTCGGGCCATCGGCAATGGGGTCGGTAAAGGGGACACCGAGCTCGATCACGTCGGCGCCGCCCTTCTCCATGGCCAGGAGAATATCGGGGGTCTGCTCGGGGTGAGGGAAACCGGCCGTGACATAGGTGACGAGCGCAGCCTGTTGAAGAGGTATGATGTTAGCATGCGGTCGGTCTTGAACAAAGACAACAGACTTGGAGGATATGTCAGACGCACCCTGTTCTGGGCCTTGCAGCGCTGGAAAGTCTGCTTAATACCCTCCATGGTGAAGCGGTGGTGTATGTATGACTGCAGCTGGATTGGGAATAATGACTGGACTTGTGCACAATGCTAAGCGGGACAAGTGTGGTTGAAGCAGTCCGTGAGGAAAAAAAGGCAATCCAGGAACCGGGCGAGAGAGAGAGGTGTAGAGTGAGTGGGTTACTGGTCAATTAACAAGGAACAAAGAATAAATGAAGGCAGGCAACAAAATGTGGATGAGGTGACTCCGCTGGATGACCGACGACAAGACGTTGCTGTTCGTACTTCGCCCCGCAAAACCCGATGTCGCCTTTGACTCACCCGATTTTTCAGTCTTTCTGTCTCCAGTCTCGATCCGGCCGCCGTCGGGTGGTTTCAATCCGTTTCAATTGACCACTGGCGGCACGTCTGCCCCGCCATCCCGCCATGGAACCCGCCCACTGTTCCGTCTTCCACTTGCCCCCACTTGCCACCAACCCCGAATCCGACCCTGTCTACCCTGGGGCTGCAGGGTCCGCTAGTGTTTGGCATCTTCCTCGCCCCCCAATTTGCCTTTCTACTCAAGTTGCCTGCCGCGGAGTCCCACCTAGCTTTTGTGGAGACCTTCATTGGCTGCCAGCTTTCAAGGACACTTGGAGGTAGCGGCAGGCAGATGGACATTGGACCCTTCCGTCCAACTCTAGCACACCCACGTCGTCATCACCACCGTCGTCAACCGCCAATTCTCCAAACTGCCCGCGTCAACCACCTCAGCTCCATTGCGCCCCGCGAAGAAGCATGCGATAGTTCAGTTGCAATGAACAGGTCGCCTTCCTCCTCCGGGTTATTGCCCTTGCCTGGTGCGCCTTCGTCGTCGTGGGCCCTCTACCGTGCTCGTCTCTCCAGCCTCCTTCAGAGTGTCGACACTGCCGTCTTTATCGCATTTTGGTTATTTGGTCCGTCTACCCTCTCCTTTCATCTGGTCCATCGCGATATAAATGTGCTGACACACGCCCTATTCAGGCCTCATCAACAATGTCCTCTACGTCATCATCCTCTCGGCCGCCCAAGACCTGGTCGGAAACGGCATCCCCAAGGGCGTCGTCCTCCTCGCCGATGTCATGCCCAGCTTCCTAACCAAGCTCGTTGCTCCCTACTTTATCCATCGCATCCCCTATGCCACCCGCATCTTTATCTTCGTCGCCCTCTCCTCCGCCGGCATGCTGCTTATCGCCTTTACACCGCCGTCCCGATCGGTGGCCGTCAAGCTGATCGGCGTCGTCTTGTCCAGCATCAGCAGTGGTGGCGGCGAGCTGAGCTTCTTGGGTCTCACACACTACTATGGTCACATGAGTCTGGCTGCTTGGGGTAGTGGTACCGGCGGCGCAGGTCTCATTGGGTCCCTGTTGTACGTGATGCTGACAGACTGGATCGGCCTCAGCGTCAAGACAAGCTTGCTCGCCTCAGCCTTTCTGCCCATCATCATGCTTGTCAGCTTCTTCTTGATCCTCCCCCATGGGCCACTGCGCGCGAGTGCCCGTAAGACCTACGAACCCATTGCCAATCGTGACTCTTTCCAGGAAGAAAGAGAGGGGGCCGAGAACAACTTTGACGATATACCTACGAGCACGGCATCATCAAGCCTCCTTGCACCCGGACCTGCAGTCGCTGCCACGGCGTATTCATCGCACCCCACCGAAGACGCTCAAAAGGACTCGCTTGCTGCCAAAATCCAACGATCCAAGTCGCTCTTTTTCCCGTACATGCTCCCGCTTTTGCTGGTCTACATTGCCGAATACACCATCAACCAAGGCGTCTCCCCAACGTTGCTCTTCCCGCTCGATTCCTCGCCTTTTGCCGAGTTCAGGTCGTTTTATCCCTTCTACGGTTTCCTCTACCAAGTCGGTGTTTTCATCTCGCGCTCATCCATCGCTTTCATCCGCATCCACCATCTATACCTGCCGTCCCTGCTTCAAGTCGCCAATCTCGTTCTGCTTACTTTGCACGCACTGCTCAATTTCATCCCGTCTGTTTACATTGTTTTTGTCATTATCTTTTGGGAGGGTTTGCTCGGCGGTTGTGTCTACGTCAACACTTTTGCCGAGATCATGGAACACGTGCCTGCAGAGGATCGTGAATTCAGCTTGGGTGCTACCTCGGTCAGCGATAGCGGCGGTATCTGTGTGGCCAGCTTCCTCAGCATGGCCATGGAGATATGGCTGTGTAATTGGCAGGTTGACCATGGCCGAGATTGGTGCAGGCGCATCAAGGCTGGCTGATCAGGGCCCAAGGCATGAAGGGGTAGGTCTTGCTGGGCCGCTAGTCTTATGATGACATGTTCTGGTTGAGTCAAACCCCAACCTGAACCTGAACTTCTTCACCTTTGACATCAGTCATTATCTCCCCATCATGGACCTGATTTTCGGTAGAGACGCAACCTCACAAGTCGAGTCCACCAAACCACTCCACCAACTTTGTGACGCGTGCCTATTTAGCTTCCTCAGCATGGTGTTTAGTCTTTTGAGAGTTTCTGCCGGCAGCATCCCTAGTGTCCATATCTCATGCGATAATGCACCCTCAAAGAGCTTCAAGACTCTGCGAAGACGGGCTGTCATCTGTGTAGCATGATATTGCAGGCCATCCTTCGTCGGCAACTTAATGGCACGCAGTTCAAGTTCGGGCTGTTTCTGTGGTATTGCAAAGTATCGCATACTTACACTATCATTACATTCCTGAACGGAGAAGAACTAGACACGAAGCTCGAAATTCGCCCACTATCCATCTTCCAAATTGCTCGACCCTCTGTCCAGATTGAACGACTACCTTCGCTTGGCTCGAACTTTGGCGCAACTCCTCTTTAGGTGGCTAGGAACTGGTTACAAGTTTGTCAACACAACCACACGCAATGCAGGCCTCCCAAGTCTATCAGTACTCCTTGGGCACAACAATCAACGTATATACGGCTCATTAGCATCCGATCTCAGGACAATGGCGGTCAGACATACCGGCTAGTCAAGAACACGGAGAGGTTCACCGAGTCCATACCGACAGACGGCTGGCCTCAGATCTATCGTGATGCTGTGAAGATGGCAAACTATCTCCAATTCAATACTTTTGGATTGATGCACTATGCATCATACAGGACAATTCATGCGATTGGGAAGAGCAGGCCGCGTTGATGGATATCATATATGAAAGAGGGATCTTCAACCTTGCTGCTGCCAGGGCGGCGAAGAACCTGGCCTTCAGGTTTTCCGTAACCCACTGAGCATGTTTGACTGCTTGCTGACCCGCGAATCTGGGGAATCATGGGTCTGCGCAAATGTCGAGGATGAACTGGACCTCCTTGCTCACTTCCCTCTCTACCAACGAGGATGGACATTTCAAGAACGCCTCCTCTCCAACCGGACTCTGCACTTTGGCCGCCAGCTTGTCTTGGAGTGTAACGCTGGTCTTGCTACAGAGCTGTGTCAAGAACTCATCACCACCAAACACGATGTTACCCGCACAATCAAACGAACTTTCGCGGGGAGCCAATACGAGTTCCCGCCGCCGAGGATATTAGTCGGGTCTCAGTTATTTGGAAAGAAGCTGTCGCGAATTTCAGCAAAACGCAACTGACCTATCTGAGTGACAAACTGCCGGCGCTGCAATGTAATATTTCCCTCTCTCGTCAAAATTTACCTGCACCTTATCCTCTTCGTCACTTATGGCCGTCATAAATACAACAATTTTCACAGTTCTTGTCCTACCATACATGTATCTCCTTGTTTGTGTCGTCAAGTTTGCACATGTTTTAATGCCATACTTTGTCAAGTTTCGTCCTTCTTCCATAACACCTGCGTCAGGTCATGTGCATACCCGATATAGTTCTGCGGAAGCATCGCTTTGCTGCCCGTTTGCCGGCAGTTTGATGCATGTGCAGTTGACATCCGACAGAACGGGACTTCTCCATGCTGTGATTTTGCGATGATCGAAGGAAGAATCATAGCTGAAACATGCAACAACGGCGAGAAGTCATCAATCACTATGATAATACACGAGCACCCATCACTAGATTCCTCTCTAGGTATTGGCCCTTGGCCATGACTTTGAACAGCCAGAGCAAACATGCGATTCCCAATGACGACATCAACTCTCTCCCTTCTCATGCTACTCCAACTGCATGCCGCGGAAGCAGCGCTCTCAATTTCTTCCCTAAGTTCCCTTCCCAGCCTAGCCACCGAGATCCAGACACCGAACCAGAACCTCCTAGCCTACCTCTCCACCACCCACGATACTTCACCTCTTAACTCCTCCGCTCTATGCACCACCATCCTCTCCCGCGATAAAACCGCCCTCTTCCTACCGAACGCACGCATCCCCCTGTCTTCGGCAGGTTTCATTGGTTGCTTCCTCGAGAAGCCACAAGGGCCGCAAGCAGAAGAAGACAACCAGCACCAACAGCTAGTCTTTACAGGGATTCCAGCGGGATGGCAATTCAGTATTACGGAGATTACGGTCGGTGGGTGGTTGGACCTGGAAAAGGGGAGTTTTGTTGAGAGGGTTTCGCTTTCTCTTATCTATCCAGTCGCTACTTTCACTGAGAAGATTGCTGGTGGTGGTGATGGTGATGGCAGTAGTACGGAACACGATATGCACAACAGTCAAGACGAAGAAGTCGAAAGAGATAAGGGGTGGAAATGGGATCTTATTAAAAGAAGGGAACCCGGAAAAACGAGTAAAGCAACGCCAGGAACCAAAAGTCAAAGTCAAGCTCTAGTCGACATAGCAACAGCCCTCACACCTTACGGCCGTTTCGGCACCGGATACCAAGGGGGCTTCAACTTGTCTATACCTGTCAAGCCCTCCTCAGGCGCCAGCAAGAAAGGGAAGAGAAAGCGGCGACTGGCTGTTTCATCGTGCTCGACGGGTACGGAGATGCAGGTTAGGTTGGGCGCTGAATTGTGGTTTTCGCTTTCGAGTGAGCAGATTGAGTTTGATGATACGGTTGCTCATCGGGGGATGCTGGGTGGTGAGCTTGGAGAGCCCGGAGAGCTCCCGGGAGAAGGGGATGGGCGGCATCAGGGATGGGAGGCGTGTGAGAAGACATTGAGGGTAGGGATGCGGGGGGAGTGGAAGAGGTGTTGACGGAGGTTGTCCGATGAAGAGGTGACTTGTGTTGATAGTGGTGAGGTTGGAGCGATGAGTTTGGGCGGTTGAGAAGGGAATGAGTATTGACGGATGGACGGAACGTTGCTGGGGATACGTATGTTTGTTGATTTGGGTTGATAGGAGGTGAGAGGGGTGGCAAAGGATTGGATTAATGAAGGACTTATCTACCTGTACTGTTGATTGTGTCCGAATGGCACAGGCGTAGACCATGGGATATGGCGTGTTCAGGAGATATTTATTTTGGCCTCGATCCTAGGTATGTTAACGTTATTACACGATACATGTTGTACAGCAAACCCAAAAAGGAACAGTGATGGAACGGGCTATCTTCAAATACCGGGACTGATAACGGAGATGTAGTGCCGGCCTCGGAACTATTGGATTGGCGATCTGCAACAGGCTCGGCTGTGATTCGCTCCCCGCGTTCCGAGATACCAACCGTTTGAGCCAGCCAATGCATTGTAACGTCATGTCCAGCGTGCGATAGTCTCTTTGCTGGTGTCTTATCGGAGATAGTATTCCGAGATAAGAAATAATGATAGGTAATCGCTAGACTGACAGAGGAATAGTATGTACCGAATATCGACACTAATACACAGTCATGTTGTTGAGGACAACAAAAACGAGGACACTCCCCTCTCGATTTTCCGGCGATGACTTCCACCACATCATTCACCCTTTGTTGTTACCTACCAAGGTAGACAGTAACCTCTACCATGGCCTCCTCCTCACCACTACCACCACCAGCACCACCACGATCTCCCTCCCCCTCGGGCGAGAAGAAGTCGGACCCCGAACGTCAAGATGAATTATACACCAAGCCCGACGACCTAGAAGACGGCCACCAACAAAACCCAGCAGCCTCTTCCTCAACCCTCGAGATCCTCGACCCCAAAGCCGAGACGGCCCTCCTGCACAAGCTCGACTCCGTCTTCGTCCCCATCATCATGCTCGTCTACCTCTCCTGCTTCCTCGACCGCTCCAACATCGGCAACGTCAAAGTCGCCGGCATGCCCGAGGACATCAACGCCACCCCGGCCCAATTCTCCACGGCCGTCTCCATCTTCTACGCCACCTACGTCGCGTTTGAAGCGCCCTGGGCTATCTTGCTCAAGCGGCTGACGCCCCGCGTGACGCTCACCACTCTATGTGTGGTGTGGAGTCTGACGACCATTTTCTCGGGGTTCATCACCAACATTGGCGGACTTTACGCGGCGCGTCTGGTGTTGGGGGCGTGCGAAGGCGGACTGTTCCCGGGCCTGAATCTTTATTTGACCATGGTGTATAAGCGGGAGGAACAAGCGCGGCGCGTGTCATATCTGTTTGTGTGCACGGCGATTGCGGGGGCGTTTGGTGGGCTGTTGGCCTACTTGATTCTCAAGATGGACGGGGTGGGCGGGCAGGCCGGGTGGCGGTGGGTGTACATCATTGAGGGCATCTTCAGCGTCTTGATTGGGGCGCTGGTGTGGTTCGCGCTGCCGAATGATCCCACCGAGGCGTACTTCTTGAATGAAGAGGAGAAGCGGATGATGAGGGTGCGGGCGAGGCAGAGGGCGCAGTACATGGGCAGCGAGGACTTCAGCTGGGAGGAGATCCGGATTGCCCTGAAGGATACCAAGTTGTGGCTTAGCGGCGCGATCCAGTTTTGTCAGGATATACTGCTGTTTGGGTTTAGCACGTTCTTGCCGAGTATCATCCAGAGTATGGGCCACACCAGCATTGAGGCGCAGTACTTGACGATTCCCGTGTACATCACGGGCGGGCTGTTCTTCATGGGGCTGGCGTTCTTGTCGGATAAGATTGCTGTCCGGGGACCGCTGGTGGCGTTTGCCAATATCTTTGGCATCTTGGGGTACATTTTGATTATCTGCCCGACGAGCAACGGGGTCAAGTTCTTTGGGACGTTCCTTTGTGCCGCGGCGGTGTACAGTGGCCCCGGACTGAACTTGACGTGGCTTAATGTCAATGTCGCCCCGCATTATCGAAGGGCGGCGGCGATTGGGTTTCAGCAGACCATGGCCAACACGGCGGGCATTGTGGCCGGGCAGATTTATCGGGAGAAGCCGTACTTGCTGGGGAACGCGTTCTCGCTCGGGGCGTTGGTCGTGTCTGAGTTTCTGATTGCTGGCTTGTGGTTGTATATCCGGTCATGTAATAGGAAGAAGGAGAGGATCACCAAGGGGGAGATTGAGGATACTAGGAAGGTCAAGACGGGCGATGGGGCGCTGGACTTCAAGTATCATCTGTAGTGAGAGTAGACACATGGGGTTTGTGTATAGCCTTGTAGCTTTAGAGATATAGTTTTTGGTATCAATTGCTCGAACCCATCGTTCATGATTTCTTTGTGTCTAAACAGCTGTAAGATCGCCTCGATCACGCTCAACACCCGACATAGAAATCGTCGAACACGTAGTAAAGACACTTTAGTACTGCGCTCGCTAAGCATGGCGAACAACAAAACTTTCGCCCATTCAAGTCAACTTTCTTAGTGAGGAACGAAGAGTACCACAAACGGAACTCGTCAGGCACATGTACTTTTCCTTGTCTGTGTAAAACTGATTTGATTCCGCCATTTCCGTGATACAGAGTGCTCTCTAAACCAGAATTGAGGGACTGGTTCCATCACTCGAGAAACAAATCTACCTAACTTAGAGCCCCGCACGAGGAAAGGAAGAGTCCTGGACACTATAGTGGAAAGAAGGAAGCGGAGAAAGAAAGGCCAAAGCCAGCGCCAACTTCCCAAATCGAAGCCCAAACCCGCAATCTTGGACCTCGATCTCATCCAACAGCTTGTTGCAGTGGGTGCCGGAAGAGAGAAACTTCCCGCTGAACCCGTACCATCCACGTCTCAACGACACGACGACTCTGAGAAGTGGGTATATGAAAATGTTTAACCAGGTTGATGAAGTGAAGAGTGACGAGTGTGACCTACTTTTTTGGCCTTCTTTGCGTTGGGGGAATTATTCGTTGGGGCATTTTTTCCGGGGGGCACTCCACTGCGCAGAGAGCCCCTGAAGTGGAAGCCACAGAGGACTTTTTCACCACCCAATCAAAATCGACCCTCTTGACCAAAAGGGCAATTGGAGCGTGCGCAATAGTTCAGACCATGCAGTACGCTAGGCTTCAGCGGGCCTGAAGTAGGATGAAAAGCGCTGTAACTTTTGTGATGTGAAAGGGACAGCCCGTTCTGCTGACCCGTTGCCCGAATATAAGCCATACAAACAGTACCAGACGGGTACCTCTATGCAACTAAAGGATCCCGCACTGCTACCCAAGGAAGTATACATACGGGCAGAGGGGGATTGTGCTGGGAGCGAGGAGCTTGGGCTGATGTAACTTTGACAAAACCCCCCTCCCTGGCAACCTGGCATCTAAATTACAGCTCCCGCTGTATGAACCTCCGGATTCCCACGTATAAGTATCGACAGCTACCTCGTGTGTGCCTCTACCCAGATCCCTGGCGACCTACGAGTCACTACTTTGAAAGTATGCGAAAGGTAACTGCCTTGGCCAGATAGCAGAAGTCCGAGGAGGGCACCTCGTTATCCTGGCTTTCAGTTCCACGGTTATTTAGTATGACGAGGATTCACAACCTGATTGGCCTACCTTCCTTACCCAATTCTCTTGTGTGTCTGACAGCCAGACTGAAGGACTACACGTGAAGCGGGCAATATATTGATGTTTACACCAGTTGGGAGCGTCGCTGAAATGACGGCCAAACATGCGGCATGGACCAAGCTAGTATGGCACCTCCCTAGAAGCCTTCAATATTCTCCCAAGTTATTATGTCAACAGCCCTACGTTTCCAACATGGCTACTACCACTAAAGCTTCTTCCAAGTTCAATGTGACTCCTGAGCAACAAGCGAGTCTGCCTCACTTCTTCTACCAACAGCTTACATGCAAGCCCAAGCCCGTCACCGGCGCCAACCTCAAAGGCAAAACAGCCATTGTAACCGGGTCCAACACCGGGATCGGTCTCGAAACATCCCGACAGCTGCTTGACCTGGGTGTCAGCAAGTTAATCTTGGCCGTTCGCAACGAGACCAAGGGCGAAGCAGCTGCCGCCAACCTGACCAAAGGTCTCCGAGACGCCAACAAGCAAGTTACCTCTAGGACATCTACCATTGAGGTTTGGAACCTCGACCTTTCCGCCTACAACTCCATCCTCGCCTTTTGCGCCAGGGCCGAGAAGGAACTCAGCACGCTCGACATCGCCGTTCTCAACGCCGGTATCGGTCCTGCCGCGCGCTGCTTCAACCCCCACACCGGCCATGACGAGGTGATCCAGGTCAATTACCTCTCCACCGCACTGCTGGCCATCCTTCTCTTGCCCGTCATCCAGTCCAAGCGCCAGTATCAATTTGGGCCCAGCCGTATGATCATTGTCAACTCCGAGGTATCGGGGTGGACGAACTTTACCGAGGTCATGGGAAAGACTAATAACAAGCCAGGAACGCCGCCGGTCTCAATCCTGGCTGCTTTGGACGCCGACGACAAAGATGGAGAACCAGTCGATATGGTAGATCGCATGTTTGTGTCCAAGTTGCTGGGCCAGTTTTTCCTGTTCGAGATTGCCAAGGTGGTCGACCCGTCGCTGGCAATCATCAACGCCACATCCCCGTCGTGGGTTCTCGAGACCGAGTTTAACCGCGATCGCGACGGTTCTTCCGTACTCTTCACGATTGGAAAGTTTGTGTTAAGTAGGGTGGTGGCTAATACGGCGGCTGTTGGGGCGCGAATGGTTACGGATGCCGCTGTTAACCATGGTGAGGAGACGCATGGGGAAATGTTAAGCTTTCAGCAGCTTGTTCCGTGAGTTTTTCTTCATACCTTTCGTGCAGCGGTAAAAGATATTCAACTGACGTGATGAAGCCTAGCACCCATTATCTATACGGAGGAAGGAAGGAGGATTTCAAAGCAATCATGGGAGGAAACTCTGTCTGAGCTAGAGTTTGCCGGCGTGAAAGAGATTTTGGGTAGAGTGGGGAGGAGGAGGAGGAGTTCCTGAGGCCACAGCTTCAATTGCCAGAACTATCAGGATCGTCATAGTCTTTCTCCGGTTTACGACTAAGAAGTTGGATGTTGGATCCATGAACAGCACAAGATTGAAGGGATCTCATGCCCTCCCCCTCCGCTCCTTTTTTCACCCTCAGCGTGACACGGTCAAGTTCCATGTTTTTCTCTGTCCCCTTCGAGATTTGAAACTCGCATTTCTTTATGAAAATCATCGACATACAATAATTACCGGATACGTCGCCCACTGAGAACTACGATTTCCTGCTTTCAGCACGGTGTTTGTCTCTATCGTCACGAGCTTGTAAACCGTATAGGGCTGGGCTGAAATTCCCAAGTATGTTTTTGAAGTGTCAGACATCGTTTCTTGTCAGTTTGAAGATCTATGTGCCTAAGAGTTTGAAAAATGGACGAATGCCATTCTTTCCCTCTTCTCTAAAGAGCCCCTGCAAGCTTCTGCAAGAGGCCCGTCGTTCGCTTTGGCCCAAAATCGGTTGCAAAGGCAAGCTGGGCATCGATGATAGCATGCACCACGTTGCATCGATCACATTTCACTAATTTGGCGCTAACAGAATTAGCTACAGACTCCCACTACTTCTGTTAGCTTTCATATGCACGTATGATAAGAGATGATGCGAGGTGGAATGTTCTCCGTTTGACATCAATGTGACGGCGTTTGTCGGTGAACCGACGGCCCTTCGCTTTTCCTCATTCTCCAATTGCCCTCTCCTCGTGCATCTGTTGCTTTTCCTACGTCCTTAGCTTTCAAGCTCAAAACATCATTCTCTGCAATCTTTATTTATGTCCCCAAACTGGTAGAGAATCGAGGATAAGGTACACGACCGCCACAGCAAAACCAGCACGTGGTTTGGACCTTCATTTGACCCAAGGACCCTTTCTCCTCGATCATAATTGTTGCCACTGCGTTTACAGTGGTTGTGTTCTTCCGGAGCTCTGTCGACGATTTGTCACCTTTCCACCTTCAGGTGGGCAATCTTTTCCATCCCGGGCCTTTACTGTGGCTCAACCTTACCTGATATCAAAACACTTCCGCCATCTTTGGTGGCTTTCCAGGCAATGTATATTGTTCCCAGTTACAAACAGTCAACTCAACGGCTTCTCACCTTTTCGCCGCCAACCCCATGAAAAGTTCTTGCTAACGATAAGATTAAATCCTGGTATTGAAGCGTCGCCTTTGTGTTCAGTACTGAACACACCCTCCATGGATCTCGTGATGGATCTCGAAACGGCCGATGTCGATACCCTCAAAACCATGATTGAGCTTTCTCTACAGGACCTCAATGAGCTTCAAACAACCACCACTGGAAAAGGAAAACGCCGTGATGGAGAACAGACAGACCTTGAGGTTGCCATTGCCACCTACATTGTAGAGCTTTCCGGCTTCAATCAGCTCCTCCTCGACCGCACCATGTGCGCCAGTATTGCCGACGCTGTTCGCCAAGATGCAGCCGCCATTTCGGAATTTGTCCGGACTGAGGAGCAGGCAAGGAACGACCACCACATGGCCTCTGCGTTGAACGAAGAAGCAGACAATGGTGCTCAACCGGAGGTTCGACCTTCCAAACCGACAGATGGTTTCACTGAAAGCCAGGACGATGATTTCCTTGACAAGTTGAGCGCCATATACATCTCCGACCCAGAGAAGGAGGGCGCAGCTGAGTCCTCTGCATGGGCTGCTAGTCGCCCGCGCACAACATCTCCATGCCCCGGACCCAAGGTCGTTGCGGCCATGAGAGAATGCGTGATATGCACAGATCAATATCGCTTCTTCGAGGTGGCCACGTTTCCGTGTCAGCACCATATGTGCCAGACATGTCTAACCAAGCTCTTTACGGATCTATTGAAGGATCAGACGCTGTTTCCACCTAGATGCTGTCACCAGCCAATCTCTTTGGATAAGTGCCGCTTCCTGTTGGAACCGGAGCTGGTCGGAAGGTTTTTGGCAAAGAAACTCGAGTATGAAACTGTTAATCAGACGTACTGCTCACGGCCGACTTGCTCGCTGTTCATACCGCAACAGGCTATCACATTGGATGTCGGCACTTGTGTCAAGTGCCGGCAAAGGACCTGCGTGGTCTGTAAAGGCCAAGCACATGTTGGTACAGACTGCCCTGAAGATTCGGCAACAAAGGAAGTGCTTCAGTTGGCGGGGACAGAAGGATGGATGAGATGCTATTCCTGTAAAAGGATGGTGGACTTGGTGCAAGGCTGCAACCACATCAGTAAGTTCATCTTCTTTTGCGTACAAGTAATATCGCAGTCAAAAGCCTGAACGCATGAAAAAACTAACTGTGCCGGTTTGTAGCTTGTCCCTGTGGCGCTCAGTTCTGCTATGCATGTGGTCAAGCTTGGAAAAAGTGTAATTGCGAGGTGTGGAGCGAAGAAATGCTCGCGGCTCAAGCTAACAGGCACGTCAATCGTGATGCGGGAGGTAGACGACTCCCAGAGCCAGTGAGGCAGCAGCGAGTAGCGGCAGCGGCGCGACACTTGATTGTAAATCACCAGTGCCATCACCGAGATTGGGGCATGCTTGAAGGGCAGCACCAGTGCGAGCTGTGCCGGGACTTTTTGCCAGCCTACCTTTATGAATGTCGGCAATGTAGACTGGCTGTCTGTAGGAGCTGTCGTTTCCAACGACTATAACCGCTCGGGCCGGCTTACATCAACGCCGGCAATTATGTTTATATGCAAGCAATTGTTAGAGAAAAAGAATCTCAACAAGAGTGACTGGAACGCGTCCTTGTTCATGCCAACGGACTTGAGTAAGAGAGGGGGGTACATACCGGTTTCAACTCGCCGTTGCAGTTCCTCGTCCTCGAATTGATAGGAATTACTAAATCCAGCCGGACGCGAGCTGCAAGTCCAGCCATTACTGATTCAGTGCTAGCTGGCCATGGAGGAATGAGATGACAGATAATTGCGTTTGGCCCAAATATCAAATAGCCAAGAAAAACTGTTGTTAACGACGACGTAATGGCCATTTTTCTCAAAGTATTAGTGTCTTGCAGTCTTACACACAAAAGTAATCTCCACTGACAACTCTTTGCAGTCCCTCAAAGCTTGGTGATTAACCTGTGGCAGTTAGTGATATTCCAGACCTATCAGACCTTTCATTCATTGACCAAGTCGCCTCGTCTTTGCCCTTTTTTTGTTTCTCTCTACACTCACACTTCCCTTTGCCCTCTCTCAAACGAAATACCCACCCATCCCCAACTGGACCCCCCAGTCCTCTCCGTCAACATAACCTACAGCCACGAGACCTACACTCCGCGCTTCGTCCCTTCGAAGGTGCCGAGCTCGACTACCAAAACAAAACCGACGTAACTCATCCATCGCTCTCAACTGGAGCTACACTAACTACCTACACTACACTGACCAGCACTCATTCCATGATCTTTTTGTCTAAAAACAAACTTCAAGGGGGCGTTTCTTCCAAGTTGCAATCGCTGACAGTTGCCGACATAGGATAACTTGAAGGAAAGGGGAGATGAATCAATGGATTTCACCGTGGTGAGCATGTTAGTGTAGGTAGTTTTCAGCGAAAAAAAAAAAAAAAAAAAAGTCCCAGATTTAGCTCCTCGTAGACTACCTACCTATTTCGTTTGCTCTTCTTTGTAGAGGTAGTTAGGTAAGGTACCTAGGGAACAACTTTTTAAGCTTTATCATGCATTCTGCACAAAACTGAAACCCAAACAAACGGCTTCTACACTACTTGGTTCCTGCACAACCTCTTCTTATTAAAGACATTGTTGAAGGCATATTACTATCACTTCTTCTTCTTCTTCTTCTTCTTCTTCTTCTTCTTCTTCTTCTTCTTCTTCTTCTTCTTCTTCTTCTTCTTCTTACTGTGGCGCGCCTATTTGACGGCGCCGCCCAACAAGTTATATTGCCTGGCAAAGAAGACGAGTGCCGCGACAAACACAGAAAAGGCAAGAGGGGGCACACCTGGATGTAAATGCCAGCAAGAACTTGAATATCCAATTAGGTTTCTTTATAGGTAAGTAAATAATGACGAATACGGCGCTAGCTAACTGGGATTAAAACAGCTTTCTGAAAGCCTTGGTGTTGATTACATTACACATTATCTTTTACTATATTCTCTTTGGCACATGGAGTCTAACCACCGGAGTCCCAAAGGCCTTGTCTGGTTCCAGCCCAGTTCCCTAGAGGTAGCCCCCCAATTTACCCCCTCACTCAACAACCTTCATCCCATCTTTCCCTCCCACCAAATCAATACCAACCCCATCAACAACGCACCTCCTCCCAACCCTCCTAAACTCCTCCCCCGGCCACCCCTGCACCGTAACCCCCTCCTTCACCGTCTCACCACCCATAACCAACGTATGCTCCAGCAGACACGCATCCCTCTGCATCTCCGCCCCGCTCAACAACCTGCTCCCCGTCCTCAACACCGCCCCATCTCCGACCTTCAACCTATTCAAATCGAACTTACCTCTGGTATTGATATGCGCCACCAGACTCGCATCGTCCACCGTCACCCTGTCTCCCAGCACTAACAACTCCGGCTCGGTAAACACGAGCGAAGGCCGGCCGTTGACAAATAAAGCGCAGTCTTTCCCGATCTTGGCGCCCAAAGCCCGGAAATAAGTCACGGTGAAACACGTGCCGGTGAGCATCCCCAACACGCCCTGGCCCGCAAAGCAGGAGCGGCGGAGTTGTTCGATGGATAGCAGGAGTTGCCAGCGCTGGCAGTAAGGGGAAAGGTCCCAGGAGTGAGTGCCCGGTTGGCGGCGGCCGAGGAGGATCCATTTGGCGGCGATGGTAATGAGGAGAGACAGGAAGGCAAGTAAGGTGTTGAAGACAGCGAAGACGGCGGTTAAGAGGCCGAAGAGGGCCATGGGTTGCGAGAGGATGGCGTGCGAGACGGGGTGGTCAGGGTGGCGGGCGCTGAAGACGTTGATGATTTGGATGGTGGAGATGGAGGGGGCGGTCCAGTACAGGGCTGTAAAAAGGCGATTGAAGATGGAGTAGGCGGTGATGGTGAGTGGAGAGTAGACACGGTAAGGGGCGAGACCGAGGTAGAAGGCGCGGCCGAAGGGAGTGCTTTTCACGGCGGGGTCGCTGGCAGGGTCTTCGGCTTCGGTTTCGGAACCGGAATGGGTGAAGTCCCCGGGAATGTCAGAGACAGAGCGGGTGATGGGAATGCTAGGGGTGCTGCGACCTTCTTCGGGGTCGTTGGTCCCTTGGGGGTAGGGTACGCTTTCGATGGAAGGTTTTTCCTCCTGGGTCTGAGCAGGATGTTGCGCTGCACGGGCGTTGCGTCGGGAGACTCGGCTCTTGTCACCACCTTTGGGGGCTGCGCCGGTTGAGAGACAGAGAGAGTCGCCACCCTTGGAACCGACGTATACTCCGTTGGCGACATACTCCTTGTTTCGGCGGGTGAGTGCACCTGATCCAAGCACCGTGTCTTCGCCGACAGTCACACCAGGGAGACAAACCACACGATCAGCAATCATAGCGCGGTCACGAATCTTGATGGGCTCGGAGCCGAGACCATCAGAGGTAACAAGATACGAGCGAGATCCAAAGACGACATCGTTGCCAACCTCGAGAAGATGGTAGTCCGTGATGCCGGGTCCAGTGCCAGGCCAGTAAACACGCTTACCAATCTTGGCCCCAAGCATCCGAAGGACAACAGAAGTCATTTCATAATGCTGACCAAACAAGCCAGTCAACTTCTTCAGCGACCTGTTCGGGTAGATTGTCCTCATCAAATCCAGTCTCCAGCGTTCGATCTGTCCGCGACCCTTAGCGCTGCTCGGCTTCAGCTTGCCAAACATCAAATCCAACAGCGTCTTGATGATCATCACAGCGGCAAACTCAAAAAACGGACCGAACATCACGCCCAAGCCCACAGCCAGATAGTGATAACCGATTCGGTCGTTGCCGGCCCACCAGGTGATGATGTCCGGCAGTGGAGCAACGGCCCGCGGGGGTCTGCCCTCAACCAGCCCGACCATACCAAGCAGCCACGGGCCACCGGCAACCAAGCTGACAAGACCGTACAGCGGAATGGTCAAGAACAGAGTCAAGGCCCAGTGCGGCCGCGGAGTGCGGTGGACGGATAGATCGCGGTTGGCCTCCGTGGCATCGTTCAACTCCCAGCTGCACGAGTTGGGACCGATGCAAGCACCGTCAGGGACCTGAGTGCCGGGAGCCACGTTGGCGGCAAGACCGACGGAGGCGTTAGCACCGATGGTGATCTTGCCTAGGTACATGGACGTGTTGGCTTCAGCGCCGAACGGGCGGACGATGCACTTGTCGAGAAAGGCGTTGGGGCCGATGGTTAAGAGATCGTATTCACCCAGCTGACAATCATGTAGTTCGACGCCGCTACCGATTTTGGCACCCAGGAGACGGTAGTACCAAACAATTGTGTAGTTGTGGTGCCTGTGGAACGAAAAATATTAAAAGATTATTCGGGAATAGGGGTGACAGAATATTCATTGGCGAAGGCTTTGTTTACATCGGAGAAAGGGGGGAGAATCTTGGCAAAACTTACCTAAAAATGCCCTGTCCAGTCAAAGCAATCACCTTCTGCGTCAACCACCACCTAGTATGATACCATCCCCACATCGGATATACTCCTTCCTTGTATCGGCCCATGATCAACCACTTGGCCAGAATGCCAAAGATGGGCCGCACAACCGACATGACCAACTGCGCAAAGAGCAGTGTTGTAACGATGTTGACCAACCGGCCAAAAGGCCATCTGCTCGTCGACCACCGCTCCATGTGTGCCAGTGTCAGCAAGAAGATAGCCCAGTGCGCCCCGCGCCTAAGGGGGTACAGAATCGCCATGGGCACCAGTTGCAGCACCATCAGGAATGGGTTCGTAGAGCTGTGGGTCTTGATGGGCGTCGGCAGTCCTTCACATCTGGCCTGCTGCTCCGCGTCAGAGTCACATAGGGTGGTGTCGCTGTAGGAGGTATATGCCGAGCTGGGCCGGGAAGCAAGCTTCTCGTCGATGAATGCCGATAAGGCGTCAACGGAGCCGCCGCGGAAGACGAGATCGATGGGTAGTGAGAGACCGAACTCGGAACGGAGAGCAGACAAAAGCCTACCGGCCCGAAGGGAGTCACCCCCTAGGTCAAAGAAATCGGCGTCGGCAGTGATTTCGTGGACCGAGAGGCCGAGAATGGAGGCCATGATGCGGGTTACCTGTGAAGCCGTGTTGCCCGAGGCCGAGGAGTCACCGGTTCCTGGGCGGTTGTTCTGCTCGTAAAGAAGGGACTCGAGAGCTTCACGGGTGGGTGTAGTGCCGAGTTTTGCCGGTAGAGGAGATTGCAGGATGTGGAAACGGTGTGGGACAAGATAGCCGGGTACCAGAGAGGGCAGCTTGGACTTGAGCGAGTCAATGACCTTGTACAGCTCGCTGACATCGGAAATCTCCTCCTTAGGGGCGATGTAAACTTCAAAGCCGCCGGATTGAGGGTTTTGATGCACGCGATGGACGATTTCCGAGGGCAAAAGAGCGGTTATGCTGCAATAAATGGTCGTTTCATCGATGCTACAAAGAAGCGAGGAGATGCTAACTGACAGGGGCGTGTTGGGAGGTGGGCAGGTAGCTTCGTAGTGGACATCGCAGTAGCGAGAAGCATCCGTCAGCTCGGGAAGGCCCAGGCGGTCCGCCAACTTGATGCGTAGTACCTTGTTGTTGCTCTTAGGCACGTCCTCCATGTAGACAATGAGGCTAGGCCACTTTGCCTGTTGCAACGACTTCTTCAGGGCTTGATGGAGTTGCCTGGTATCAGTACGCTGAGCGCCAGGAGGCGTGACTAGCACAACACCAACGACTTCTTGGAGGACATCGTGACGGACAGAGAAACAAAGGGCTCGCGAAACCCGGTTGAAGATTGGTGACTCGGGGTCCTGTGCGGCAGCAATGATGGCGTTTTCAACCTCGAAGGGTGAGATAATCTCGCCACCGCGGTTGATGACTTCCTTGCTGCGACCAGTGATGAAAAGGTAGCCGTCCGAGGAGAGGCGACCAAGATCACCGGTATCAAACCACCCATCTGGAGTGAAGGTGCTGCTGTCGTACTGGCCCTCTGCAGTGAGATAGCCGGGGAAGACGGGCTCACCACGGACACAGATACGACCCACGGTTTCGGAAGGTTGATGGATGTTGTTCCAGTCGAGAATGGCAAGTTCAGGGCCGACGGCGATACCGGAAGTGCCGGGCTTGTCCAGTTTGTAATTTGTTGGCGGGGTTGAGATAGGCATGCATCTGTCTTGGGTCAGTGAAAGTCCAGACAAGCACAAACGAGGTACTCACTCAGTCATTCCATAACTCGGCAGCACAATTGCCCCATCAAAAGTCTCTTTTAGCTTAACAGCCAAGGCAGGTAGCAGTCCACCAGCGGCATTACACACCAATCGGACTCTGCTCTTAGCAAGCGCTTCGGGTCGGTCCTCCGCTTGATCTAGAATCATCTGATGCATTGACGGCGAAGCATAGTACCATGTTGCCCCATGGTCCTGCACAACATCCCAGAAGAGGGTCGGATCAAAGGCCGAACAGCAGATGACGGACCCACCCGAGAATATGGGCGAGAAGATGTTTCTAATCAAGCCGCCAATGTGAAACAAGGGCATCATGTTGAGACAGACATCATCTGGCGTCAACCCCCACGAGTCGATGACAAAGGCTACGCCAGCAGCAATGTTCTGGATGGTAATTGGAACAAGCTTCTTGGTACCTGAAGTACCGCTGGTGAACAAGATGATGGCTACGTCGTCTGTCCCGTTTGGCGCTGGCTGGGAGCAGCCTGCTGCTTGGGGCGTGACTAGCTGTCCGGTCAAGTCTCTGATGGAAATTCGTGTAGGCTGGCCACGCTGAGCGAGGTCACTCTCAACCAGCAACACTGTTAGTCCTTCCAGGGCCGTCCATGATGAAGGGCCCGTAAGTCCCAACCGCTCCGCATCCTTTGCGAAGGTCAATATGACTGAAGCACCCGTCTGCCGTACATCAGCACGAAACTGTTCAGCCCCAACGGCCTTATCGCAGTTGACTGGTGAAGCAATGCATGTGTTTGCTACGGCTAGACAAACTGCAGCGAGGACAGGGCCATTGGTGAGAGCGATACAAACAATGGGCTTGGTCAGTTTACCCCTTTGTTGCACATCAAGAGCCTTGCTAGGGAGAGCGAAGTTGTTGGCAAAGTCCCGGAGGGAGCCATGGGTGAGGACTGTGCTTAGGTCGGGCGTACTGAGAGCCGGCTTGGAGCTGGGTTGGATAAAGGCGGATAGGCTGGTGTAGGAAACTCTGAACGAATCGAGAACTTGTTGTTGCTGGGAGCAGTCAAGCCCGGATGCCGTCTTTGACCGAAGCTGGCTTGTGGCTTGTGCGTAAGAGAGAAGGGTGTCGTATGGAGACGCCATGATAATGTGTGGTGATTAGTGACTGGTATTCACCTTGGTAGTCGTTGTCTCGTCTGCCAAGATCTGATATTAAGCAGCCCGTCCGTCCTGCGGATACTGTTTGATGGCTCGCCAACCGGATACAGAATGTTCATGGTGAGTTCTTGATGAATACTGTTGAGCAGCGGTGAAGAAGATATCAACAAGTGGACTGATGATCAATGAGAGTGTTTGGCGAAAGGAGTGATGTTAGACAACTCTAACAAGTTTTGGAGTGATCTGGACTATGAACACGAGATATCGAGATCGACAGTGTCAACGGAAAAGTGATGACGGAGTAGATGTACCCAAGCTTGCGCGACAGAACGTTGTCTTTCGCGCCTTTTTCTTTTGTTTATTGTTTATTTTTTCGATTTTTTTTATTTTTCTTTCTTTCTTTCATATTCCACCGTGGTCCAGTGACTGTACAAACTCCACGACCCGGGGGACGATTGTCTAATCTTAGCGAAGAAGCTTGTCTTCGTTCCAAGACGGCGGATGAACCTGAGTAGAATGGGACTAAGAACCGCTCATCACTTATTTTGGGTTTGGCTCTTGGATGACGTTATGCCAGGGTGTTGGTGCTTGGCGAAGGGGATCTGTTTAGGCTCGTGGGAGAACTGCGTATCATAGTATGCTCACCATCATCGACTCGGGACTGGGCGATCGAGGTACATCATCAGGAGGGTTCGTGATGGGATTCGGCTGAAGCCGTTCTTGGCAGTGTTGATCATCTTCGGCTGTGCGTTTCAAGCTTTTTTGGAGTGCCGTGACTGGCATGGAGAAGAGTACCCAGACCCATCTGAAACCGGAGATGGCAGCGGCGTTGGTCCATAAGAGCCGATATCAAACATTGTAGGAAACCCGAAGAAGGACCGTGTGAGCTTTGAGTGTTTTGCGTTTGTGGGGCTGTCGTGAACAAGACACTTGAGGCAAAGCTCTCTCTCTCTCATGGACATTGTTTGTTTTCCAACCCATCAGCTCGCAGTTCTGCTCAGAGCATGAGTTGCCTCATTCCAGCGAGCATCCGATCAATAGAGGAAAAAGGGTGATTTTTTGCCCTTCCCAAAATAGGTTACGAAGAGCCAGCCCCCTTAGTTGATCATGAGAAGATCCAAGATCTTGAAGATGCCCAGAGAGCATTCAAAAGAAGATGTCACCGGCTGAGGTAGAACCCTGTCGAATATTGGCAGGGTCGTCCATAGAAGCTGCACCTGTCAACCGGTAGTTGGACAGTGTCCAAACTGTTGATCTGCAAAAACGGGCTTGGCCGAATCATCGCCAAATCGTTCCTGCATGTGGACGAGCCAAGCCGCGAAGGGATGAATGACGTTTCAAGACCCTAAGGTTCCAAATTGGGAGTTTGAGAATAAGGGACTCGCTCACTTGAGCGACACCATGGCGAGGCTGGCGGTCTTGGCCTTTGAAGCATAAGCCATTCAAGCTTGTCAGCCTTTTCGATTTCCCAGCCTTCGCTCATTTGGGCCGCATGGGTGGTTTTTGGTGGACTGTAGGCTGCGGCATGCCTTTCCTGGAGACTAATGCCTCCCGCTCAGACTTGGACCAGCTCTCTTATCAATGTGTTTGAGAGGGAAAACGAGCTAGGGAATACGTATTGGGAGAGTTCAAGTGGAGATCAGCCTGACTGACAAGAGTAGAAATGATCTGAACCGGGCAACGAGACAAGTAAGAACAAACGCTGGCCGCGAGACACCAGTGAGGGAGCATCGGAAGATGAAGCGGGCTGTTAAGGATGAAAACGAGAGATTAGGGACCTTTGAGGAATATAGCGAAGCGAAGAGCGTGGTTGATTTGTCATTGGGAAGGGAAATGGTGCTTCCATACGAGCAAAGGCTGACTCTGGACGCGCCGCATCGTACACTAGAGTGAATCTCGGGGCTTGTCGGCTCTATTGCGTGAGAGGAGGTCCACTTACTCGGGCCGTGCCGGGACATTCACCACCAATATGTGGCCCCTTCTTCCGGCTGATATCCGCGGATGCCCGAAAACACAAGGGAGCCTTGATCCTGGTGTTGAGAATTCCGGGACATGAGTTGCTAACCCCTAGTTGGATTTTCCGCTCAAAGTAGTCTGCGGGCGAGCAGTCCAAAGCAATGGTTGCTGCTCTCCAAATTCAGTGGGGGCCGTAGGTCTCGAGACACGTGAAGTTCCCAGGACTGGTGACGCGACACTGACTTTTTCCTCCCCTCTTTGAAATGTTGGTCATGTCATAAGTTGGTTCCCGAGTTTCCTTTGTGTGGTGGATGAAGAGTTCTGGTAGACAAGCTTCTCACCGAGCCTTTGAGGATCTCTCTTGGGGCTTGCCAGTCATCAAGACATCGATGCTTGGATCGAGGCCAATGTTTCTGACGGCGGAGACATTGGTTGCAGAGCTGACGGTCAAGAAGCGCATGTCGCCTTGTGATCACAGAACATTTTGGGTTGTAGACACACCAGCGTGGACTGGTAAAAGATGTGCCTGATTGTGGACGACGGAGGATGTCGAGAGAAGAACTTCAAGTGGAAGTCTCGAAAAAGGTTGAACTGACTGCCGACTTTAGGTGTGATTCGAGCCAGAAGCTCCAAGGAAGGTACGGATGAGAAACCGGGCCGACAGCATATTTGGACAACTGGCGCCAAGACCGCGAGTCTACCTTGACGGCCCGTCAGTACCAGCCTTTATCAACGGCTTATCGCGTATCTACCTCTAGCAGGTATCCCGCCACATCCCTGACAGCTGAGAGCTGTACCTCTAGGCAGCTGTTCCTCGGCACCTCACTGGGGGAGGACCTGATGCAGGTCATTCCTCCCCCCGCGGCGCCATCTTTTCCCCAGCTTCCATTTCCATGGTTTCTTCCATTTCTTTGCTGTAGCCTCTCGGGCTCTGCATGTAGCGAGCCTTTCCAGTTTCAACTGATTCAAAATGCCCGCGACGCCATCAACATCGCGATCGGGTCGCCACTCGCAAAGTTCAATAGTCAGTGATGTGAGCGCTGTAAATGTGGTGGTGGGGCCACCCGAAATCGCAAACACCAGCACCACGGGCATCACCACCAAAACCAAAGTCAAGGCCACCGTTCTGTACGAAGACGACGCCGGCGCCGATGGACTCGAGCCACTGGTCGATCTCACACAAGCCATTCCATTGCACTCGAAAAAGACGGACCGGAAGCAAAAGAGACGCGACAAGAAAGAAGCGAAACGGGCCTCGACGGTGCCGCCCCGAGGCATGCTCGACCTCCCCTACGAGCTCCTCTACTCCATCATCACCCTCGTCGAACCCAGAGAGCTGTTTGTCCTCTGCCGCGTTAACAAGTCGCTTCGGAACTTCATCCTGTCCCAAGAACACCTCATCACGCGCGACATTATAGCATGGCGCTACCCCTCTCTCTCCAAATGCTTCCGCCTTCCTGTCCTGGCCCAGGATCTCGACGAAAACGCCCGTCGCGCGCTCAACGAAGCCTATGGCGATGCGCTTAGCCCTAGACGAGTCAATGCCAACTATAAACATGTCCAGTCTCCTGACCCGTCCCTTGTCTGCTTCTGCTACACCTGTCGTCTTCGCTGGATTTTCCTTTGCATCATTGTCGACTTCGCCCACTGGCAGCATCATCTGGACAACGGACTACCCATTCCCACTATCCCTCGTGGTGCCGACCCAGACTGGAACAAGAAACTGGTCGCTGAACACGCCCAGGTGGTTGTCAAAGCCCTTCACAGCCAGCTGTGGTACGTGAGGCTGCTGCAAGCACATCTAACCTCCATCACCCGCTCCATCCGCCGAAACACTGCCAACCAAGGCAACAGACGATCTCGCTTTCGCATGACGCCCTCGGACGTCGCCAGCGGCACCGACGCCTTTCTCGACCGGAGCGGCCCTCCCACAGTCGACTTTCCCTACAACCGCGACAACTATGACATGCTCGAGGCATTCATGTCATCACGAAGTTGGATCAAGGATGACGGGAAATGGGTCTACGTTCCTGCTGATCAGCACGAACGAGAACTTCGCCTGCTCGAGCGTCAGAGACAGGAGGCGCCGTCATCGACTGCCGTGTCCCAAACGCCGCCTGCCGCACTTGTGCCGAGATCCATGATCTTCTAAAATCATTCATGAACTACCTAAGCTTTCTTATCTTTGACGTTAGTCTCCGATAGCATCGGACATAAGGTCGTCCAACGTCCGGTAGTCCCGAAATAAGATCCTGCTTGAACACCGTCTTGGCTTTGCGATCCCAGGCCGGCCAGGGTACCCTAGGTAGGTATCGAGATGATCGATGTCTCTCTTGATCTCAGGGACTCAGACCAGCTCGGAGCATCTTAGGGGCGTCAGATGGACCCACAGATGCGGCACGGGCGACCGAAGTGTCAAAGACCCCCCTGTTCCGCTGCGTTTTCATTATTAATACAGGTTGTTTTTAGCAGGTCTTCTAGCAGACCCTAGAAGAACAGACCCGTTGCATCGCAGGCTCACCCATGCGTCGCGTGGCCGCCAGTGTCTCGGCAATTCAGACAAGTGCCGTTACCGCCCTCATCCTTGCACCCTCGACGACGTCACCTCATCGCGATTTTAGAATCTGGCGGGCAGTTTGAGTTTTCAACGACACGGACAACAGCAATCAATGTTTCTGTACCCCTCAGCGCCACGTGCTATAATGTTGCGGTTGCATCTGGAAAAAAGCCATTTCATCAGATACTGTACGTAGGTATCTGCGATACATCAGCATCCGCGCTGTCCGGTGCAGAATGGCAGATCTTGACTTGCGATTCAGAGATCCGAGTTTCCGGAGACGAGACCTTATCCCGTAGCGCCATTGGCCACTGGCTGGCGGTGATAAGAAAGGGTCAAGAGTAAGACAGAGGGGTGAGGACGAAAATCGGAGGTTCGGGTTTCAGGCAGAGCCGCCTACATATCTCAAGGAAAAAAGATGCCGACCGCGGAATTATCTATCAAGACTGAAACAACCTATCGCATGGAAAAGTTTCAAAACTTGTCGACACCGACAACAACAACCTCTTTACCGCTGTTTGCCTCGGTACTCTAGCGTTTCTGCTGCTTATCAAGCACGACGAAGCATGGAACAAGCGACACTCTACACAGGGTGGATCCCTGGAATCCCTTGCTTTCCGAGAGCTTCCCGCAACTGTGGGCCCCGACAAAAACTTCCAGCCCAAAGTTCGATGAGGCAAAATCATGGATGCTGAGTGAAGATGAATCCATGCCGGTCCCGGAGGTGGATATGAAGCAGGTTCCACGATCCAAGTCATATAAAGATGTGAAGGGCCCCGAGGACTCTGGGCCATCTTTTGGAACCGCATCTTCACCTATTCCGGTAACAAACAACCTACATCTCTCTCTCTCTCTCAAAACCACAACAGCAGTTACAGCAACACCCGACACAATGTCTGGCACCGATTACAAGTTCGAAGGCTGGCTCGGCTTTGACAAGAGCTCTGCCCATGGCAACATGCAATGGGGCGAGTTCGAGCCCAAGCCCTGGGAGGAGACCGATATTGATATCAAGATCGAGTGCTGCGGCGTCTGCGGTTCCGACATTCACACCTTGAGGAGCGGTTGGGTATGTTTGACTGCTGCTTTCAAATAATTGCTTGTCAAGTTCGTATTGCTAACAATTCCTCATAGGGCCCTACCAACTACCCTTGCTGCGTCGGTCACGAGGTTGTCGGTACCGTCGTCCGTGCTGGTTCCAAGGTTGAGGGCGGCATTAAGGTCGGCGACCGTGTTGGTGTCGGTGCTCAGAGTGACGCCTGCCGCAACCGTACCGACAAGCACTGCAAGATCTGCGCTGACGGCAACTACAACTACTGCCGCGTCCACCACGTTGGCACCTACAACGGTGTCTACATGAACGGCGGCAAGTCTTATGGCGGTTACGCTACCTACCAGCGTGTCCCCTCTTTCTTCGCCGTGAAGATTCCCGAGTCGATGCCCTCTTCTCACGCCGCCCCCATGCTTTGCGCCGGTGTCACCACCTACGCTCCCCTCAAGTTCCACGGTGTCGGCCCTGGCAAGCGCGTCGGTGTCATTGGTCTCGGCGGTCTCGGCCACTTTGGTGTGATGTGGGCCAAGGCCCTCGGCGCCGAGGAGGTCGTTGTCATCTCCCGCAGCTCCAGCAAGAAGGCGGATGCCATGGCCATGGGTGCTACCGGCTTCATCGCCACCGGTGAGGACCCCGAGTGGCTCAACAAGAACAGGTCGTCTCTCGACATCATTCTCTGCACCGCCTCCTCCGCCGACATGCCTTTCAACGACTACCTCTTCCTCCTCGACCTCGATGGTGTCTTCATCCAGGTCGGCGCCCCTGACGATGATCTCCCCCGCATCAAGCAGATGGCCCTCATCTTCAACCGCATCAAGCTCACCGGTTCCCTCATCGGCTCGCCCGACGATATCCGCGAGATGTTCCAGCTCGCGGTTGACAAGAAGGTCCAGCCCTGGATCAGCGAGATCCCCATGAAGGAGGCCAACAAGGCCATTGTCGACTTCGAGGACGGCAAGCCCAGGTACCGTTTCGTCCTCAAGAACGAGGACTACACTCCTGTTCCTGCTCAGGCTTAGATTTAGATTTTCTTTGGTCTCGAACGGTCTATACCCATGTGTAATGAAAAAGCGGTTTTTTGGTTCTACTACCTAATTTTTTCTTGCTCGCTTGAGATATTGGCATGTGATTTGTGATCCTTGCAGTTGTGTGTACGGTTCGCATACGGGAAGCGGCTGCTGTCAGCGTCATCCCGTCCCCCCTGGTCCGGTACCTTGTTGTGTTACCCAATGCACGGCGGCATGCAACAACAACATGGTAACACCCGCGACCGTTACACAACGGACTGGACCTGCATGTACACCACAGGTCCAGCAATCGACAATGGACGGAATTGAAGCCGGAAGATACAAGATATATGGAAAACACTACTCGATGCAGGCAAGAGGCGGGTAGGAAGCCGTCCATTGTCAAGGCAGGAAGTCAGCGGCGGCAGGATCATGCCGTGTACAGCGGTCCGTCGGCATCCATTTTTTCAAGTCGAATCCACGTTGCCTACAGCCCCTGGGGTCCGAAAGAATTGATCTGTGATTACTTCCATTCATCCATCTGATTCAAGTTGCGAATTGGATTCAGTTGTCAGGCATCGCGCGGCGGGTTTTGAAACCGAATCAGATGGAGGTACACAACAACGAACAATTCTGAATTGGCCTTCCAAAGTACTTACCATCGTCATGCACTGGTTTCAGTTTTTCCTCTGCAAGTGACGTATGTGATAAAATTTCCAGGTCCATTACATATTATCGATGGCTAAAACGGGGACGGACGGAGACCTAGGATACATTTTGGGCAGAAGAAACCTAAGATTGGAATGGATGGATGAAGGCGCGGCCGGAACTGTCATGAATGCCCACTGCTGGATGGATGGATGGATGGATGGATACACTCGCTACGCTACTACAGTTCACCCCTGATTTCCATGTTCGTTAGCGCGGGAGTTCACTACCTACACTACTAGGTACGGACTCTGCTGTGCAACTCAACCACCATTCCACAATTTCCGTGGAAGAACTTGAATCTGATTGTTCTATCATTTTGTTTGCCTATATATCTTTTTACAGACCCTACTTAATTCTATAATAGGAACCGTGTCAAGGGCCTCCACCACCCACCCACCAAGCACCAACAACGGCCGCGCCGGCCGATGACCCGCACCGCACCCCGCCTAGGAGGAGGCACAGGTCGCTGATCACTTCTATTTTTTCTTTTCTTTTGTGGACTTTCATTCAAAGTTAGGTTCCCTTCAGTTCCCGCACTTCAGTCCCGCTGCCGGATCTAAGTTTGTCCAACGGTCGTACATGGACGCAAAGATAATCCGCCCCTGTCCGGTCTGCGGAAGCATCCCCGGCCCCCCCTGACGGATCAGCCGAGGTTCCCTGTCACTCCACCATCCATCCCATCAGGAAGAGAGGAACCTGAACTTCCACTACCCACTATAGTCTAGGTACCCACTACATGGATACATACCCACGATTAGTATACTTCCTGCTCCTGATCCTTCCGACAGTCATTCATTCACTCGTTCAGTTTGGATCCCTTGAATCGAGTTGATTCTTCCCTTCTCTTTTCTCCCAATTCCCTCGTTCAGTTTGGATCCCTTGAATCGAGTTGATTCTTCCCTTCTCTTTTCTCCCAATTCCATCGCTCCGCCTTTCCTAACTAGACGGGAGTAACACACCTATTATGTCCACAACTCCCCCTCTTCGTCACCACGCAGTCTCTCCTCCCCCTTTTTGATTCTATCCGCACCTTTCTTACTGACATTGACAGTGACTATCCGAGTATTCCACTCCTTACACCTACTTTATCCCCTCTCTCCCCCCTTCTTCTCCAACTCGCTTCTGCAATCACAGCGCCGCGGGCGGTGAGTGGACAGGTGGGGCAGGGCATGCCGAGTATGTAAATGGGAGAGGACTGGATGGCGGCGAGTGAGGTAGCGAATGAGGATGGTGGAAAGTGAGTGGGGAGCAAGAGAAGTAAAAATATAGGGATATTGGGACGAAGTGGGTGGTGCACTTCAGTTCTTTTGTGCATCAGAACCATTAATAGACCCTTGTGCACCCAACGACAAAAAACAAGCTGCCAGCGACCACTGCGAGGGCACAGCTAGCTCTCTTGAGACAAAGGAGTCTAATTGACATCTCTTCATACTGGCTACTTAGCATCAGATCATCACTCCTCGGGAACTCATCATGTGCGAGTAGGAGGAGTACTACTTGTGGAAATGCGGCTACGTCGTAATCTAGTACTCGCCATCTTGTGCTTGAGATGTCAGGGGGGATGGGGTACTGGTAGTGGGCGAGCATGAACGGGAAGAACGCTGAGGTATACAAGTATTCCTCTGAAATCCACACTGGGCCGGATATTTGGATCCTTCGTTGTTCATGAATAATGGTTGATGGTGTGAAAGAAGTCAATACTTGGCTGCTTCTTGCTGATCATCGCAGAGGGAAACATGTTAACAGGCTGATAGGATGGAATGTACATGTCTTCAATAACCAGAATCCTCCTGCTCGTTGCCCTCGCTCATCCAAGTCGCCGTTGAGTAAGAAGTTTCGAAAACTTTGAAGCAAATGGAAGGAAGCGAACCAGAAGCCAGAAATCAAAAGGTTTCGGAACCGCGAACCGACGAGAGGTGCTTCTCCGATAAGTGCCGTGGTTGCCGTTTTGCGGTGAAGGATGATGGAATATAATTTTCAAGTCACGACCTGTAGCTACCTACGTATACTTACTAGGTAGTCGAAGACCACCTAAAAAAATTTTAACAGCAGAAAGAAGAAAAGAAATGGCCAACGATCAAGTCCATTACAACACTGCAGATATTCCAGATCATGACAAGCCAAGCACCAGCCACAGGCCCGAGATGCATATGGTAGCGCACAGACAAGCACTTGGACGAATCCGGATTCGTATGATAACCGGCCCCTCTATGAATAGCCTCATCCGCCCTCCCGTCCCGTCGGCCCCCTCCCCCACCGGCGGTCGACTCAATGTACACTAGCAAGTTGCAGTTACATCCGCCGGCGCATCATGAGTTAATGCATCATCTAAATCTTACCGAGCACTCCAGTGGTAAGCTGACCTTGTCGTGATTGGCACGCTACCCTCGCTGGTTCGGGAACACTTCCGAACATGAAGGTACCAAGGCTTGGCGTACTGGAAGAACATGGAGAGAATGGAGAGAGTTGCATGCACTTCTTTTAGCGAAGCGGAGAATGGGCAGATCGACGAGCGTCGGATGCGGGGAATCCAATGGGGCTGGATTCTAGACTCCAGATTCTGGAAGAAGTCTCTGGTTGGAGTTGGACTGGAAACTGAACGGGAAAGATTGAGATCTGGGTTGAGGAGGAAGGAAGGATGAATACCATAAACCCAGAGCATGTCCCTCCTCCCCGGGAGGAAGATTGGAACTGAGACCACGGCACTCCCCTTCAATTTCCCGTCTTTCCTTACTTCCTTCTCGGCCGGCCATCATGATGTGGCATACTTCCCTTGGAGCAGCTGCCGCCGTATTTTCCCTCCTCACTTCCCAAGTGGTTGGGCGAGAAGACGTTCAGATAGAACCCCAGACAGCCCAGATTGTGTCGACCAAGGGAGTCATTCTCGACACCATTCTGGATTGGAATGACGCCGCGAGACTCGACCACACCACGTACAATGGCCAGAAGTACGGATGTAAATGCTATCCTGGCCGTCCATGCTGGCCCTCTGCCAATAAGTGGAACAGCCTGAACAGGACGGTCGATGGCACTCTTCATGTCAACGTCCCTGCCGGTGCTGTCTGCCACAACACCTTCGACGGACCCTTTGGCACCATCCAGACCTACGATGAGGCGGCATGCGCTGATGCCAAGGAGAACTTTGTCAACGAGCAGTGGACGTATGTTACCCATCCATATCACACCCCCTCAACTCTTGAACTGAACTGACAAAACTCCAGAGTCGAAAAACCGGCCGATGGCCTTTGGACCTACTTCACCAACGACACCTGCCGTCCCACATCGAACCCTTCCGACCCTTGCACCCTTGGAAGCTACGGCGTCTACGTGATCATGGCAACCAAAGCCTCTCACATCCAAGCCGGCGTCAACTTTGCGCGCCAAAACAACCTCCGCCTGATCGTCCGCAACACGGGGCACGACTTCCTCGGCCGCTCTGTCGGCTACGGCTCCCTGATCATCAACACGCACAGCTTCCAATCCCTCAAATGGACCGACAAGTATACTGGTCCCGGCTCCTACCGTGGTCCTGCCGTGACCATGGGCGCCGGTGTGCAAGGTGGCGACATTCTCAAGGCAGGCCACGCTTTGAACCCGCCCATGGCCCTCGTAACAGGAGAATGCGCCACCGTTGGTCTTTCCGGCGGGTTCATCCAAGGCGGCGGCCACGGCCCCTGGACGACTCTCAAGGGACTGGCCGTCGACAATGTGCTCAACTTTGAAGTCATCACCGCCTCGGGTCTGATCGTCAACGCCAACGAGTGGCAAAACCCCGACCTCTTCATCGCGTTGAGGGGCGGCGGCCCGGCTTCGTATGGTGTCATCCTCTCCACCACCGTCAAGACTTTCCCTGACTTGCCAGCCGCGGGCGCCACGTTGTACCTTAACGCCACGCACACGTCGGATAACGAGGTCATCTGGGTAGGAACCAAGATCTTTCACAAGTACGCCAACCACTTTGTTGATAACGGGTTGTATGTCTACTTTGAGATCTTCCCTAACCAGTTTCGCGTACGTCCATTCGTGGCTATTGGTAAGAGCCAAGTCCAGCTCCAGGACATTCTTAGACCTATGCTCGATGAGTTTGCTGCTGCCCGTATCCCGTACGAGGCTGCATTCATGGAGTTCCCCACATTTTATGATCTCTATATCGACCTGTTTGAGGCTGAGAAAGCTGGTCAGACGGCGTTAACGGGCGGGTGGATGTTCAACCACGATGATGTTGCTAACCGCAATGACGAGATCATCGCTGCTATGAAGAACGTGGTCAGCCCGGCTGGAAGACCGGATTTGTTTGGTGGCATGGTTGGACATCTGTTCAACCCAGGCCATAACGTTCCCGTTTCGACATCGGCGGCTCACCCGGCGTGGAGGAACGCGACGGACTTTGTGATTGCTGTTTTGCCGAGCCCGGAGCATCCCAGCCTGGCGGTCAAGAAGGATTTGCAAAATGTTTTGACGAATAATATGGATGAAGGGTTCAGGAATGCGTCGAGGAGTGGGGCTACTTATGTTAATGAAGTAAGTTGTACTTTTTTGCTTGGTATGTGAGATGAGGATTTACTGACCAGTGAAATATGTACAGGCCGACCCCTTCCAGCCCAACTGGCAGAGCCACTTCTGGGGTTCCAACTACCCTAGGCTTAAGCAGCTGCGCAAGAAGTGGGATCCTTTGGGTGTCTTTTATGCCGTATCCACTCCCGGCACGGAAGACTGGGAGGAGATTGAGTTCAACACCAGGCTTTGCAAGAAGCTTTGAATCGTGTTGATGTGCGTTTCATTATGCACTGATGTGATCTTTGTCGTAGTGTTAGTTGATACCTCTATGCATATACGATAATTGAAACTTTGGAACAAAGACGGCAAAGTTGCCGTGATACAAACGACTCACCCAAGCTTCCTAAGATTTTTTTCCCTCCTGTGACCCCAGGCACTTTAACCGGCTAATATCTCTCAACCATCACTTGGCCCAACCACGAATTTGGATTCCATCAAATCACCTCAACATCCCACTCCATCAACCACCACTCTCACAGTCTTTTCTCGCCCTCTCTCCTGTTCTGATCACTCCCCTCCCCCTTATCGATTCCATACTTCTCAATCCACTCCCCCACCAACCCCCTATAATCCTCACTTCCATACGGACTGACTAATTCCCGCCAGACACTCTTCTTCCTCCTGACTTTTAATCCCAAATCAGCCACCAACCAATCCCAATAAGGCAACTGATCAAAGTTCAAGTCCGGGTACTGCCTCCCGTGTCCCAAGGGCGATCGAAGCTGACACCATCGCTGAAACAGGGCGGTGTCCTTGTATAGAACTTGTTGAAGAGGCGAGACTTTGAGTTTGTCATTGAAGTATGCAAGGGACCATAAGCATTGGAGTTCGATGCGGGGGATGTTGGTGATGTTGCTGTGCATGGAGAGGAAGACGAGGGAGTTGCGGGTGTGGGATGTTGTGAGGGTTGGAGGGGCGATGCCGCGGTGGAGACGCCAGGGGGTGTATTGCTTGGACTCTTGGGTCTTGGGGGAACAGAGAACAGAGGTGGGTGTGAGTGTGGGTATGGATGGTGGTGGTGGAATGAGTTGGGGAAATCGCTTGGTTATGACTTCATCTGCTTCTTGGTCGTAGGTTGCCCAGATGGCTTTTTCCTCGTCGGAGAGAGAGTCAGTCGTGGTTGGGATGCCGAGTTGGAAGTGTAACTCAGGGGGAAAGAAGTCGATGGGTGGTTGGGGTGAGTATCCGGTTGCGCAGATGAGGGCGTCGATGGCGGTCAGGCTTGTTGTTTCATTATTATCGGCGAAGAAGTGGATGGTGTGTGGACTGAGATGAGAAATGTCTTGACGGTGGACAGTCACTTGTCCACTGGTGACTAAGGCCTTGAAGTCCTGCTCGTAGTTGAGCGTCCCCGAGCTGGTCCCGTACCAAAAAGGGCTGTGGTCTGGTTCTAGCACACTAAAGTTCTTGTCTTCTTTTTCTTCGCGGTAACGACAATCTCGGATGGTATCGGCGTGCAGGATCTTCCAGAAGCGTTTCGTTATGGCTTTTCCGACCTTGTTGGTATGCAAAAAGTCGCGGATCCAACTGATGTGTTTGCCGGAGTGGTCGGGAAGGACACAAGGAGACATGAAAGTGAAAATCCGTCGAGTGACGAGCTTCTCGCGCCAGGCTTTGAAGGGGCCGATCTTGGTGTGGGAGGGAAAGACCCATGAGGGACCACGGCCGGATTTGCGGATGATCCAGTCGACTTTGTGGCCGGTCGTGGCGGCGAGGTAGACGGTGTCGTAGGCGGATTTGGAGCCGCCGAGGACGGCGACGCGGTTGATGTGGGGGTTTTGCAGGACGTCTTGGTAGCGAGGGCCGAGGGCGGAGGAGTGCAAAAGGGGTGCGTCGAAGGTTTCGCTGCCTTTGAGGGAGGGCATGTTGGGGACGCCGAGGATGCCGGTGGCCATGACCAGTTTTTTGGCTTTTAGTGTTGTTGTGGTGGTTGGGTTGCCCAGTTCATGTACGTCTACCTTCCAGCCGTCGTCACTTGTAGGGGCTGCTTCTTGAACTTGATGAACTCGGACAGCTCGAGTGTTGAAGCGGATTCGTTTCATCAGATCAAAGTGGTGGGCGCATGCGGTCAGGTAGGCATGCATTTCCTCGCCGGTGATGTGGTGTCCTGGACGGCCGATGCCAACGCCCTTCATGGGAAAATCACTAAAGTCCATAGTAGGGTACAGATTGTTGGTTCGGAGGGTGGGATAGAGTCTCTCCTTGGACCAGACTCCTCCTATGGTCGAGTGGCTGTCGAGGATGACGATGTTGCTGGTTGGATTGTGTTGAAGAAACGTTTTGGCAGCGCAAAGGCCGCTAGGACCGGCGCCGATGATGAGGATGTCGAACATGATCTTGACTAATCTGTTATTGTTGATAAGAACAGAAGAACAGAGTAGATCCCGACAAGAGTGGCTACTGGCAGACTAAGTATTTAGTCGGCCCCCATGGGATGTGATATGTGATATCTCCATGGCGCATCACTATCGAAGTCCAAGTACCGATTTGGGTAAACAATAGACCCCTTCACACCTGCACCACCCAATGTGTTTGCTCATACGGGCTGATACCGCTAATGTCGGTGGCCCGAGATATCCCGGGAAAAGCAAACGACTGGATGACTCCTTTTGACCGCAGCCGTGTCAGTGAAGGGTGTGGACAGGGGCTCACTCAGCTCCCCATTTCTGCGTTGCCCCATTGGGTCAGTTGATTTCCAGGCAGTCACTCGAGGTCCAGTCTGGCAACGGTTTGGGATCGTATCCAGTTCCAGCATATTGGGACCGCAAGGAGCTAGCACATTGTAAGCTGGTAACCAGTCATCTCAACTCAGCTCCCAAGCGCCGTGATGATATCCAACCAAGTTGTTGGGCCGTCGATGATACGATACCTATTATAGTTGGTAAAATCTTTGTATCCATCCTCAGAGAAGCATGTTGTTTTCTTACTGATTTCTCTATAGACCGTTATCCTGTTGTTTGTAGGGAAAACACTGACAGTCGGTGGACGTAGTCGATGACACTGTCCCCTCCATTCCATCTGTCACGGCAATTTCTCGATCAATTTTGTAGAGTATCCTACCTATCGTTGTCATCGTAGGTAACAGCACGGTGGAGTCTTTCGGAGGCTCGGGTCCGTTCTCATCAGCCAAACGGAGAACTTTTGAGGATGAGATACCGAAGCTAACGCCGGTGAGTGCGCCAATCGGTTGAAATTGCGAGAAGGCCATGTTGACGGGTCGGTGCACGTGGGAGGGTCGCATCGAGCGCAGTGACGGACAGGTCAATGGAATCAGAAGATACGGACGTCGAGATGAAGTGGAAGTTCTGCGTTGCAAAAAGGAGGGAATGTTGATGGATAAGAGGACGTTACACCTGGGACCATAGGGAGGCCCCCACACGGCGTCTGCCCGGGCCGAGGTGTTACGGACGGCGTGGGTCGACTCACCACGGGCGGTTCCGTTGTGGGGGGGGAGGGAGTCACACCGGCGGCCCGGGTTTTGTTACCCCAGCGATTAATGCACTAACAAACTAGTGCCACCATCAACAGTGACTTGTGTTAGTGACAAACACCTTTGTATAACACTCTTATCACCTGCCGATGTCGGTTTGGCGTCAATTCCATGTCGCGATAACGTTCCCTTTCCTTTTGATGTTCCCGCACATCGATGAACAGCCCCTCACTGTGTCTGACCTCCAACCTCCCCGGCGATAATCCTTCCGGGCCGGCTTATGTCAAACAGTACTATCTCTCACTTGTGCTACTGACGTGATCGGATCCCCGACCCGGATAAGCGCCCCCCAGCATTGATCCCCTCTCGGCTTCGGCGTTATCACTGATTCATTATTCCTGTCTTTGCCGAATCCGATAAAACCTTGCACATCCCCCCCTCCATCACTTAATTTCTGAATCTGAACCTAAAAGCAAACATCTCGCGTCTTCGGGACCGAAAGCATCCTTGAAACCAAGCCATTGACCGCTTCCTCGGTGAACTGGCATCTCAATGGCCGCCGACGAGACGACGCCACTGCTCCCAAATGGGACGGCCGAGGATAACAGTCGTCAATCATCATCACCATCACTATCATCAACCACCAATAGTGAAAACACCACCAGCGATAACCATGATAACCTTCACCATGTCAACAAAGAAAAACAATGGTCACTCAACCCCCTCACCCTCCTCACCCGCCTCCACGTCGAAACCCGCATCCTCCTCGCCGCCTTCCTGATCACCACCTCCTTCTCCTTCACCCAAGTCCCCATCTTCTACGTCTTCTACCTCATGGAATGCGACGACTTTTACACCCGTCACCCTCCGTACGCTGGGTCCGGTGACCGATGCAGCCGCAACGAGATCGCCGCCGGCACCGCCACCGACTTCTCCTTTCTGGCCATGAGCACCACCATCTGCGGCACCGTCAACCTCTTCTTTGCCGGCTGGCTCGTCAAGAAAATCGGCCCGCGACTGGCGCTGATGGCCCAGGTTTTGGTCCCTGCCATCCGCGTGCTGACCCAGATCCTGGGTGTTTTGGCTGGCGGCAGGTCTGGCATCGTGATTTTCCAGGCGACGCAGTTGATCACCGTCTTGGGCGGGCCCGTGGGGTATATCCTCATCATCAACATCATCGTCGGTGAGGTGGTCTCTCCCGCAAGAAGGACGCCCGTCTTTGGCATGCTGCAGGGGTGCTTCATGCTGGGCCAGGCGGTCGGCTACCTGACAGGCGGCATGATTGGTGATGCGTGGGGGATCCGGAGGCCGTTTGAGGTGGCCTTTGTTGCTTTTTTGATCTCGACGGCGTATGTGCAGTTGGCGCTACCGTACGTCAGTCCGGAGAGCATGGCGGGCGGGAAGAAGCCCGGGTCCAAGGCGAAGGGGGTGGCTGCCGGGTTTTTTGCGCCGCTGAAGGTATTGGCGCCGCAGAGAGTGAGGTTGAGGAGCGGGAAGGAGATCAAGCATTTTGGCGTGCTGATCTTGTGTACGGGTGTGTTTTTGGGCGTGCTGGCTACCGACTTCGCTGCCATGTTGATCCAGATGTACGCCACGGCCGTTTTTGGGTTCCACCAAAGCGACAACGGCTGGCTCATGTCCGAGTTCGCCCTCATGCGCGCCGTCTTCTTGATCCTCCTCTTTCCGCGCATCATCTCCTCCGGTCGGAAATGGTACGCCAAGCGGCAATCCCAGCGCCAGCCGCGCCGTGACTCCATTTCCGACGAAAGGGATCCCGCTACCCAAGGCCTGCTCATCCGACCCGAGCAACTGGAGGCTCCCATGGGCACGTACGCCGAAGAAGAGCCCATGGTGACACAGCCACCGACGGAAACGGAAGACACGCACTTTGATCTCTTCTTCCTCCGTTGGAGCTTGGTGGCCGATGGTTTGCTGACCTCTTGCGCTGCGCTGGCGACCAAGAAGTGGCACATCTACCTGGCTGCGGCCATGCTTCCGTTTGCGAGTGGCACTGCCCCGGCTGCAAAGGGTGTCATGACGGAGATGTGCTCGCCTTCACAAAGGGCTGATGCCCTGAATGCGTTGACGCTGGTTGAGAACATTGGCCGATTGGCGACGCAAGGTTTCTTTGGATTCGTGTTTGCTGCATTGGCAGAGGCGGGGAAGCCTCATTTGACATTTTATTGCAATGCGGTGAGTTTATTGCGTGGTGTTTTTTGCGAATTACGACCCAAAACTGACTTGAATTACAGATTCTTGCCATGATCGCGGCGAGTGTCCTGATCTTCTCCCGCTTCCCGCCAAATGGGAGTGAGTTGATTGAAGCCGACGATGCAGAGGAGCACGTCGACGGAAGCACCTAGACTTAGGGCGAATAAGCAGATCGCCCGGGGACATATTGTATGTCAGGATTCACGGAAAAAGTTTTGCGTTTTAGGATACCAGGCGTTTTGGGTTTGGGATATACAATCATCATCATTTCCTGCTTCTTTGATCTTATTCTCATCACGGTCCTGAACCATTCCATTCACGCACCTAGACTTACTGTGTAGAACGAGCTCATCCTATCTTCTCACTGTCATAATGGTTCTCACCCTATGTCCACCCTCCAATTTAAGATACCACCACTATCATAACCACCTCCCCAACCCGCCACCCCCATGAGCTGAACATCCTTCAACCCCCTTACCATCACTACCCTTTAGGACGGAACCTCTTGTTTGATCGGCAATAGAGGCCTTGCACAACGGGCCGCGTTTATATGCGGGTAACGGACTTCTATATACCCATCGGCATGGTGTGTAGCCGTGAGATATAAACCTCTCGGTTACCTACCGATGCAACCTGTATCTCAACATCATGTCCTTGCCCTGGCCAGTCATTGTTGCTGCGGCACATGCAACAATACTCAACGCCCAAATGTTTTGCATCGGTTACACGAAGCTGCTCCACCGGTTACAGTATACATTGCACAATTATCTCCCGGTGGAATCGTATGCAGTGTAACCGTCGCTTTCGGTCAGTAGTACCTTCCAAGGGAAGGTTTACAGGCGATCCCCCTCAGCATCACACCCGGACTCCATCTCAATGGCCAACGGTTTTCATGGTTTACGAGGGGACGTAGTAGTACTACTACCCAAAGTGCCGAAAAGGCCTCGGTCTCCGGAGTCCGCTCCCTTCTTGCCTGCGTTAGGTAAAGTTAACAGTATGAACTTTATGGTCCGGTCCGACCCGAGAATGCTGTGTAGTCCAGTGTCGGTTTTGGAAGACGAAACGGTGACTAAATCAGCTCATGCCGGCGGCTGTGGGAGATACTTAACTGTTCCTAGACCACTGCAATGAGGCTCAAAAACTGGTTTCATGTCCACTCTTTTGCCATCTTCCCCTCCTCGACTCACAATGGTTCTCAAATCCTTCGCTTCGCCTGAATGGCGGTTAGACAAGCCCATCCATACTGAGCGTCCCGTGAGGGTCATCTGTATCGGTGCCGGGGCTTCAGGTCTGCAGCTGGCGTACAAACTCCAAAAGCATATCAGCGGCTTCAGCTTGATAGTGTATGAGAAGAACCAAGAGGTATCGGGAACATGGTACGAGAACAAATATCCTGGGTAAGTCAACCACCAGCCTCACTCCATTACCCTGCCACACAGACACGCTGACAATGACAACGACAGCTGTGCTTGTGATGTCGCCTCGCACAACTACAACTGGTCGTTTGAGCCCAAGACGGACTGGTCAGGCTTGTACGGCACTAGCCAAGAGATATACACCTACTTCAACGATTTCGCCGACAAGTATGGCCTTCGCCAGTACATCAAGACACAACACCAGGTGGTAGGCGCCAAGTGGACTGGATCCGGCTGGAACGTTTCCATCAAGGACCTCACAACGGGCCAGACCGTGATTGATACGTGCGACATTCTCGTCAACGCTGGGGGGATCCTCAACAACTGGAAGTGGCCAGACATTCCAGGACTGAACAAGTACAAGGGCACCCTTCTCCACACGGCCCGCTGGGACGAGTCGGTAGACCTAAAGGGAAAGACTGTCGGACTGATCGGTAACGGATCATCGGGTATCCAACTCCTTCCAGCCATTCAGCCGCTAGCGGAGAAGGTCACTGTGTTTATGCGCGGGCCAGCCTGGGTCTCGCCGTGGCCTGGGCTCGAAGGCCGTCCGTACACAGACGAGGAAAAGCGACGGTTTGCCGAGGAGCCTGGTCACTTGCTTGCCTATCGCAGGAGCGTCGAGCGTGGAAACAACAGTATCCTTCCTGTCTTCTTCAAGGGCACGGATGCCAACAACAAGGCCCGCGACGTCATGCTCAAGATGATGAAAGAGAAGCTAGCAGGGCACAAAGAACTGGAGGAGGGACTGATACCAACAAGCTTTGCCCTCGGCTGCCGTCGATTTACTCCGGGCTCTGGATATCTGGAAGCCCTTGTCCAGTCAAACGTTCAAGTCGTGTTCTCCGGAGTGGCCGAGGTTACCGAACAAGGGTGTAAATGTGGGGATGGCAGCGAGCACGCAGTCCCTGACGTGCTTATCTGTGCCACTGGGTTTGATGCCTCGTACCGACCCCGGTTTCCCATTGTGGCCGGCACCAAGAACCTGCAAGACGTCTGGGCACAGGACCCCGAATCCTATCTGGGCCTCGCTGCCGCTGACTTCCCCAACTACCTCACGATCCTGGGCCCCAACAGCCCGATTGGGACGGGCCCGCTGCTGATTGGCGTCGAGGCGCAGGCCGACTACATCGTCAAGATGATTGACCACTGGCAGACCCACAACATCCGGTCCTTTGCGCCCGATGCGGCGGCCGTCCGGGATTTTGTCGCGTACAAGGACCAGTTCATGAGCAAGACGGTGTGGGCGGATCCATGTAGGTCTTGGTACAAGTCTGGGTCGTCCAGAGATAAAATCACGGCCTTGTGGCCCGGGTCGACGCTGCATTACCTCGAGGCCATCAGGCAGGTTCGGTTCGAGGACTGGAAGTTTGAGTACGAGGGCGGCAATCGATTTACGTATCTGGGAAATGGGCAGAGCCAGACAGAGACGAACCCAGATGCGGATTTGGCGTATTACGTTCGCGAGGAGGACGATGACCTGCCGCTGGCGAGGAATAAGATGACTAGGATTATCAACAAGACTGGGACTGTCGTCGGGGCTGAGGGGACCGGTGAGGGTAGGTTTTTTTCCGGGCTCTGACGTTTCTGTAGTCATTTTAACTTGAGATTTTGATTGTGGAAGCGCCTCCCTGGTTGAACGGTGATTAATGTGATTTGTCGATTGTTCCGAGGTTGATGTTGCGGCGGAAAGAGGAGGAAATATTTCACTTTTCACTTCCACCCGTCCCCGTCTTCCCACAACAACGACACATCACGCAATCCATTCCCATTTTTATAAGTGTTATTGAGCCCGCCCTGTTATCTCGATTATCTCGATATCTCGAGTCTACAGCATATTATTCTGCGATTCAAAAAAGGTAGCGAATCATAGGAGGGTATCCCACCCAGCCCGTCATCCGTCCGATGCTGTTGATTAGTAGTTAGTGCACTAACACATAGATACTCAAACTACTGACTTGCAGGTTAGGCACTCATCTCATTGTCGTATCCAACATCCCATCATATCGACAATAAACCGACTGGCTTTGACGGCGCATGCAATTGACTCCTCCGCTGAAACTGAAACTCTTATATACATCATCCAGATCCTTTCTTCCCCTCAGCCTCAACAAGCTTACACCCGGACACTCCCAAAACCCTACATATCCCGCACCCACTTCCCTGCACCTCTCAAGCGAAATAGCCTACTTCCACGACGAATCAACAGTTACCGACTCAACGCAGCTCTGAGGAACAGTATACGACCTATTGGGATCGCTTTCCCAAGTCACGGCGCTGCCGCCGCCGTTGCTGCTGGAAACCTTGACGAACTTGTACTCAAACTTGGTGCCTGCGGGGAGACTGACCGTGGCAGTCCAGAGCGGGTTGCTGGTGGTGTACTGCGAGGCAGACAAGGCAACGCCGGACGAGGCGCTCCAGCTGCCGAGCTGCGAGATGGAGCCAACAAGCTTGATGGACTCGCCGTAGCTGGTGCTGGCAAGGTGGTTGAAGGTCACAGCGACGGTGGCGGCGGGGGTGCAAGAAGCGCTGGGAGTCTTGCTGCTGGTGACAAGAGTCGTGGCGGTTGCAGTGGTCTTGGTAGTGGAGGGCTTGGTCTCGCCGCCGCCGACAATGGCAATGTCGGCGCACGAGAGGTACACCTGAGCGGTCTGGAAAGAGTTCCACCGGAAGGAGAGCAAAGTGTGGCCGGAGATGTAGTTGGGGATCTTGATCTTCTTGGTGACGGTGTAGCCGCCAGCGATGGTGGTGAAGCAAGATCCGAGAGCAGCGTTGTCGACGCCCTGGCAGCCACGGCGGCTGTCGGCTTGAAAGGCGTTGCAGGCTAAGTAAGTCACACGACGATTAGCAGGATGCTTTTTCTTTTACTGATGCAGGCTAGGTAGAGATAACTTACTGAACCAGTCGTTCCTCCAGCATGCCTGACCTTGCTGGCAGTCAGGGCTGAAGTCGCAAGCTTGGCCATTCACATCTGTGCAGGGAAGGGTGCCCTTCTCGAAACAATCCTCGGCAGCCTGCTTCTCCGCCTCGGTCGGGAGATAGCCAGGAGTGAGGAACTTGTTGACCAGCTCCTGGTCTTGGCAGATACGGTAGGAGAACATGCCACCGTGGTCGCCGTTGTGGTCAACGCACCACTGGACGTCGACAGTGTCGCCGGCAGTGTACGTCACGACAGGAGAGTTACCCCAGTTGCTCGCTGGCTGGTTGTAGTCGATGCTGACGCGGGCATTGTAGCCGCAAGGACCACTCCTGCCGACCTTGGCTTCCGTAACGTTGGGCCATGCGGTCACGGGCTCCAATATGGAGCACTCGGGACAAGTGTCTAAGCCGGCCTAGAAAACACAAATCAGCACGATCAATCTTCCAACGATCTTCAGGGTATTTGTTTACCTCTGCGCCAAGTCTTGTACGACTGAATGGAATGGTCAGATATCCATGGGCGTTGACCGTTATGGCCGATGCAAGGGCAACCGAGATGATGGAGAACTTCATGTTGGCGAGTGGAAGGGGAAGGCCGAAAGCTAAGCAGGATGGCCGAGGAAGTGTGCTGGAGTGTCCAAACTGAGATGCATTCTCAGCGGTTGGGCCAATCCTTTAAGTATTTCTTAACAGGACGACGACATCACCACCCTTTCACAAGATTCGTACGTTGCCGGCAGGGTTTTCCTCGGCGATCTCGCAAATACGACCGAAGTACTGCCATCACATATGACGTTGGGCGTGTTCCGATATTTCCCTCAGCCGGCAGGACGGTTCAACATTCCGCGGCCATCGACACATGTGAATTCGGTGTCAAGCATCGCCATGAAACCCTTGGCGGACTTGCTCAGATGACTTGCATGAAAGCCAGATGTGTGCAGTCAGGAAATCCGGGGCCCCAGGCTCTCCCACCTCCAGGGTGCCAGCCGTTGGAAATTGCGGGGATGCAGCCATGCAAACCGTTGAGTCTTGGTCGTTTCGGTTAGTCGTACCGGTGCTTGTCTTCCTCTTCTGGGCCTTCCTTCAGGGTAGCAACCGGCTTCGTAGCGTTGCAAACGGCCCGAATCCTTGCCTCCGATACCCCAGACTTGTCGTCTCCGATACCCCAGAATGCCACGTTTTCAGACTCTGTTGCTACCCATATTACACCGAGCCAGGTGTAAGCAGCCTTGAAATATGAAGCAGTCGGGCTCGAGGTGAAATGGAAAGTTGGTCGTAAAAAAACCTGGATGTCCGGTTAAAGAGATGACATGGTTTTAGCTCAAGCGAGAACGAACTGCCCAGCATCTGTTTTGAGGAACCATTCTTGTCCGCGAAGGTTTGAAGTTCTCTCTCCTTCGACCTGAACATAATCCTCGGCACCTTCGTCATAAAGTTTCGCTCGGTGTCATTCCGGATTTGCCACTTATGGTCCATCTACATTAGCTTCAGTCCAGCGGGAGAGTCCTCCGGTGAAGCAACATACTTCATCTAATATTTCTTTTTTTTTCCACACGTTGTCCCATCTGTTAAGCATCAGTGTCAAGTCCGCTGCACCAGGATCAGGACATATCTCGGTGTTTCTGGCGCCTAAGCCCCTCCTTGGCCGCCACCACACTCCCACGTCTTGTTAAAGATAATCCGCGCCAGCTTGATGTTGATGTAAAAGGTCACCAACACATCTCTGTCTCTTGGCAATCGCATCCCCTCGGGCAGATAGATGCTATTGAACTGCAGGTCACAAGTGACGATTCACTGTCCCTCGTTTTCATGGTATAGGTCAGGTTGGTCACGGATTTGGTGATGTAGATACAGAGAGAGCAGGTAACATTGTTCGCAGCGCATGTTATTTAGATGAATGGTGATTCCTCCAGACGGTATAGCCCGAAAGGCTTTTGTCAGCAGGTGATGATGAAGAACGGCCTAAATGGGTAAATGGGTACGTTGGAAGTATCCACATCCATGGTTGTCGTAGCGCTTTCCCACAGGCGTATATCTATCTGGCTTGATGTTGTTTTCAGGTTCTTGCGAATTTTTCAACTGCCAACACAACAGCCACGAAAGTGTTTACTCCCTTCTTTGTTTGTGCTTCATGTGTTGTGTATCCGACGGCCAACTACTCCAGCCGCTGACTACCAACAGCCAACGGGTACAAAACCACCAACTGCCGAGAACCAGGAGCCAACCATCCCGTCCGTCGAGAGTGCAGAAGATACTCCGTATGGTGAGACACAACATTGAGCGTCAAGTCTGCGACAATCACTCTGTTCTACAGAGGCGAAGGTAGATCTGGGATTAAAATGTATCACTTGGCCGCTTACAGAGTGAAGTCGAAAGAATCTCATGTACGAGGTGTTGATGTGGTTGCTGGTGGCGCATTAAAGTCGTTGCGATGAGTTCTGGCGAAAGCAACAAAAGTTCGTGCTTGCGAAAACGAGGTGCGAACATAAAAGGGAAGGAAGTAAGAAGCCAAAGGTGGGAGTGCTTTCAAACAAAGGGCGAGATGACGTTGTCTGCCGTGGTCCACCTGTGTTGGACTGCAGGCGCATCTGGACTGCGTGTCTGCGCCCAACGAAGCGCTCATCCGTTAACCGCTGGAAAGGCACACAACTGTCTCAAGTCGAGGAAGACGACAAAAGGAACTCTCGAGATATTCCTGTCAGTGTAGTGTGGAGATGAACTGGCAAACAGAGGCACGATGCTCGAGATCACATCTGTTGGTGATAGCAGCAACTCCCAGTATACCCGCGCGCTACAGAATCAAGAGAGAATTGTGTTTCGACATGTCATGGCTATGTGCTCTAGTATCTCCTGGGCATATAAATCACTTTGTCCCTCATGGTGTTGAATTGTGACCTCCTCACATTGAAATAAGTACGAGTCTGCCGGGCAGCAATCATCCATCCTTCTTCGTCAGGAGGAGCATCAACACGGAACACGACATCAAGACAACCAAACCACCAACTAGCACTATACACTCGCATTACTCAACGAGCTAGAATGCATTACTCATCTGTTCTTGAAGGGCTCTTCCTCTCCTTTTCAATATTCAGCCTCGGATCCACCGCCAGCATCTCACCTCTACAAACAAGTGACGGCCAGCTTCATGAAGCTCGCGAAGTCAAGAAGGCAGGATTCAGCAAGAAATGCTGGGACTACAAGTGGAACAAAGAGACATGCGTCCTTCGGGCTACCTGTAAAGTCGACAAGAAGAAGACCGAGTACAGCAGCGAGATCGACGTGAACACATGTCTCGCCAACTTTGTGCCGAGAGACGCGACAGCGGAAAACGAGGACTCACAGGGGAATTTCAATAACGGATTATTGAATTGGCAGTTTGCGCCCATGGAGGTCTATCGATTGAAGAAGGCCAGTGGAAAGTAAGTGTAGCACATTTTTTTTCTCTACGGTAGTATCTCTAGATTGGGCCCAGAATCATGAGATGAGACAAGTTGTCATGGAAGTGTCTACATACTAACCGATAAGTAGGGCAATCCTTAAGAACGCCTGTCAAGATAGACACCATTGCTACATTGCTGATGAGGACCTCAAGGGCAAGAAGGGGCACGAGCCAGTGTTGCAGTGCGCAAAGCAAAGAAATAAGCGGCCGGTGATCATTCCGTTGGGTAAGCTTGCCCACCTTCGCTCCAGAAGTAATCTGCACACGTTTTCATGACTTGACTGTGCTTTTTTTTGCTGTATGTTAACGTCAAACAGATATCGGTATCGGTCTCGACGACAAGGGACAGCTGGGGTGCTTGCCACACCCAGAGGATTAGGTTGTTGAAGGGTGATGACTTTAAAATGAATCTGGAAGTAGATGAGGAATTTACAATTAATTTTTGAACGTTCTGCGTTTGTGTGAAAGGAAATTATTTAGCACCGGATGTTGTCTTTCTCCGTTCTTGCTATTCTCAAAGTGACTGCTTTTCATGTCTTCTGTCCCTCGCCCCTTCCCTTCTGATTCCTTTTCGCCTTCCTTTCAAGCACTCTTAACGACTATTACCCACCTACCTACCTCGAGGTTCAAGTACCTACAACCACTGCCATCCTGCACCATAAACGCCTCGTCCTCCAGCAACTAGAAAACCCTCTACTATTTTCACGCCCCTTTACGGTCATCGAAGCAAGAGAGCTCCCCATTGCTGTTGTAAACATAATCCCCTAGAAGAAGACATCCGTTAACCAAGAATAGGACCAAGCAATGTATACAATTGTAAGGAAAGTAATACTCACACGTCGGTATGAAGTGGTATTAACATCTTGTTTTTGTAGGCGTATTTCCTTCCTTGTTCAAATTGCTAGGTGGTAGGTAAATCCAGATGTTGTAAGACTTGATTGTTGATAGAGATACAAAAAACCAGCGGCCACTATCCTATTTCACGAAAATGGTATCTTCATGTACAAGTAATCGTGACGCCTTTTACCACGATCACCACGCGGTATTCCATAGCTCGATATCTATCAATGATCACCACACACAACAGATCTCTTCAGTCCTAATACGCGTATGTCAGTGTGTTCTTCCTCAAACTACTTTCTCGTTGCAGTGAACATGGCAAACAACTCCCAGGCTGATATAGATGACGACCAGCGCGATAACATCGAGGCACAAAGGGCAACTCACCGAGGAAGCAGGCCACTCAGCTAATCCACACCAGCTAGAGAGTTGACCAATGTATACAAATGTTCCCAAGCATCGCCGACCCGATCAGTCCCCATGACGAACACCTCACTCGCTCCCAACAAGACCACTTCGGAAATTGAACAATTATTGAAAACCAAAATACACTCGTCATTCTCCGCCGCGAGGAGGCAAGCGCATCACGATCATACCATCCTCAAACCAAAGCTAACAAAGTATTGCGTTGAGAGCTTCAAGTTCATATATCTTGGTATTTCTTTTTCCGTGCAAAGGGACTTCAAGAGTAAGAATCCATCAACGAAATATACAAAACCAGGACCAAACTCGCAATGCATCGATCACAACTGGAACATCTTAACACAGGAAGTGGCCCGTGCGGCACACCTCGCACCCGGCAATCTACCTAACCTAGAGGTAACCATCGTGGAAGCTACTACCTACCGAGCACACCAAGACACTCGACAATTTGAGAGGCCTCCCTCCCTCCCTGTGTTCTAAACTGCTCTTTGATAAATCCTCTCAGTGGCATTGATATACAATGAAATGCTACCTATTACCAACCCTTAGTTTCCTTCGAACACTCTATAGTAAAAAGGGGGGGCTGTACAAAGAGGTAGGTAGGTAGGTCAGAAACGCACGCGCCTCTACTATCAGCAGCAGCAGTAGGGCGTTTATGCAAGGCCGAATCACACAAGGCTGTCGATACGGCAGCAATAAGGTACTCCCGCCCGTCGCTTTCAAGGTACGAGTGTCGACTTCAAGCTGTCAGGGCAGGGCAGTCGGGTGCACCTACTGGAGAATTGGGGGTTTGTTAGTAAACTCGTGCAGTTGGTTTTACATGGAACATCATGTATGTACATACCGACCTGGCAGTAGCCGAGTTGAGAAGTTTCCCCTTAATCCTACATTCTGAATAAACTCGCTATAACTCCAGTTGTTGCAGTATATACTCCAGGTCGTTTGCTGAAAACAGATGTTGTTTGCGAATGCGCTGGCGCGGTAAAGTGATGAGTGGTATATCTGTGAGCATCTGCTGTGCTAAATAAGTTGACCGCATGCGAAGACTGTGAATTTGACAATCAAACAGAGTTCATTTCATTCAGACGAACATATCATTCAAGCAATGCGCTTTGAGATAGCTTTTGATACATAGAGTGTGGTGGTTTCTTTTATCTGAACGATTTTTGTAACTTCAAATATAGCCGTCTCCATCACATAGAACCCCAAATCATATCTACCGCTGTCGCCTTTCCTGAAAATGTGCGTTGTATCCCCCCCCATCGTACCTCGACAGGCTCGCGGGTCGTGTCGCGTGCCCATATCACACATCGAAAGCCAGTAAAGTAACCGCAATATTGAACTCCACGTACTGATGGAAGTAAAACAAATTTCCGAAAGCAAACGCCAAATTTGAACATGGAACATCGTAAAACCCATACTGTTCATCAGAGTTAGAAACGCATACCGGGCCCAACCGAGACAGGGTCAGAGTTGGGCGTTTCTATCCCTGACGAGAGTACATCGCGTGCCCGGGCCCTAACGTGGAAAATCAAGACCGGCTGGGTCTATGCCTATCTCATCACTGAAATCATCGACATCGGCCGATTCATCTCCCAGCTGCTGCGCCCACGTTGAGGTTGAGAACATGCTTTGAGACTGTGACTGAGAAGAGGGCATTCCGATCGAGTCCGATATACTGCTGTCCATGTTGATCTGAGACTGGGCAGGGGCAATCGTCTGGGCCATGGCGCTGATCTTCTTTTCGTAGTGACCGAGCACATTCGCCATTTCTGGCAGTCCCAAGAGTTCGACGATGAGAGCCTTACAGCGCTCATTGTCGGTAATCTGGGCACGCATGTTGGCCTCCAGCTGGAGGATTGTGCGGTGTTGCTCTTTGCACTTTTCCTCCAAGTCATTGATGTAGTCTAAGATATAAGTCAGTGGACAAGTCCATCGCAAGCAGAATCACACAAAGGTAAACTCACCCTTTTTGCGGGCACGGAAATTGCGAGCCGAGACTTTGTTGCGAAGTTGACGCCTCTGCGCTGAAGTCATACCCTTGGCCTCCTCGCCCTTGAGTACCCGCTCGTCTTCGTCGAGGTCGTCCTCATCCCTGTGCTTTCCCCGTTTGCTGAGCTTGGGAAACTCGCACGGCCTGTCTTCAATGACGACGGGCAATGTCTTCATGTTGTTGACCAATCGCTGAAGCTTGGTGCGCTTCTCGATACGATGGTATTGATCAGTTTGTCGATGTGTGATGGCGAGGTACTTGTCCTTCTCGCTTAGATGGTTTGCTTGTTCGTTAGCGAGACCAAAGTTGCGACCGGGACCAGAGCCGGGACCGGGAATGCGATGCTGACGGGGCGCAAGAGGAGTCGTCGCGGGGGTAGTGTTCCAGCCGGAAACGGGTTGCTGAGGGATGGTGAAGGGAGTGGGGATGGAGAAGTTGATGGAGTTGATGGAATTGTCCCCTGCCCAGTCGAAGTTGGGACCCGAGTGTTGGATGGAGTCGAGATAGGTGGGCCCGTTTCCTGTTGGCTGCGCTTCCAAGACCTGCGATTGCGTAACAAGCGATGGTTGGGTTGGAAAGTTTGCCGTCAATCGCTTGGTGTTCTCGAGAGCGCTGAAGGCGTCATTCGCGTGCTGGCCGATGGCGAAGCTATTGTCGAAGCCAAGTCCGGCGAAGAGCAGGTCAGAGTGATACGGTGACTGGTCCCAAGCGGTTCCGGGTTGGTTTGCGTCCAGGAAGAGTTCGCTGGGATTGACAGTCTTATTTACGGAATTGGTGACGTTCATGTCGGAGTGGCCCGTGATGGGGGTCGGTGGTTGTTGTCGGTTGAGATGGAAACCGTCCGCTGGATGCTGGCCAGAGCTGGGTGGGTGATTGAGATGGAAGGATGGAAAGGAACGGGCGGATCGTCTGGCGGGGGGGAACTGTCGGCGGCGGCGTTGGGGCACCCAGAGTTCAAGTAAGGAACAGGGCAACGCCAGGCAAGTGACAGAGACAGCGATCCATTGGAGGAGCCCGGGCAGGGATGGCACAGGCTCTAGTGGCTGGGCTTCTCACGCCGAACGGGCTTGGAACGCTAAAGTGCCATGAGGGTTAGCGTGTGACCGTGCTGCTCCAGGGTGGACGGCCGATGCCTGTGGTTGGGTGTGTGGGAATCGGCAATACCTGTCCTCGCAAGAGAGCCCCAGGAGACGTCGCTTAACACATTTGGACGACATGATCTCTATAGTTTGATAGTACGATACCAACCCGGACGAACCGCTTGTACCGGGGTCCTTCCGGATTGGGCGGGCTGATGCACCCCCCACCGCCCGGGACGCGTAATACAGTTGCCTGGGGTTGGATGGTGTGCATACTGTACTAGATCGTGAGATAAAATACAAAAGTAAAAGGTGAGGATGGATGTTGTTCCATGGAGAGAGAAGTTGGGACAAGATGTCGTCAGCTTCGATGAAGGTTTGAGGTTGTTTCGACGGACCGGGCCACTGGCTCAGTCATTTTCTTGAAAGCTTGGAAGCAGCATGATGTAGAGGTACCTCTAGGTAGCACCCGACGGTAGTGTCGCCAGTCGCACATCTTCAAAGCTTGTTAAGGCAGGTACTTAAGTTGGTATAAGGCAGCCTGCTATGCATGTCGATAGTAAAGCGGTTTCCCGAGTACCGTGTACGACCAACGATGACAGCATTCTCCCTTGATTTCAAAGCTGTATCTATAAGGGTTATGTCTTACCTGACAAGTCTCGGCCACTCGGGGCTGCCATCAAATTCACGGGCGGTTAAGGAGTAAGGACCTCTCAACCCGACACTCTGCATTTACGATAATTAAATTAAGTGAGGCCTCTTAGCTTGGATGTTACAAGTATTTCTTAACATCCACTCATAACATCCCCCAAATCTCAGCCTTAACAGAGCATCAACGCTCATTCAGATTGGCTCAAGCAGCTCAAACGAGCACTCGCACCTAGGTAGGTAGGAGCAATCTGATTGCCAACAATCCTCGAACTCCCGTCCTTATAACTGTGCCTTAACTCGACGTGCAAAGCCATCTTAACCCAGCTGAACGGTGGGTCTTTGGTCGATCCGACAATCTCAACTGCGCCTCTGTGCCAGTCAGGGCACCTCGAGCCGATACCATGACACTCATGCAAGGAGGACCAGAAGGCTTGACTTTGCTGCACATGGCAAAGTTGGAGCCCCGACACTGACCCAGAAGCAGTTATTGTGCCCTGCCGACCAACCTAAAAGACATACATAGGAAACCTAACTAAGGTAGGTACACCACGGGGAGGTGGAGTTTCGATCGCCGACATGTCCGTTTCAGGTGTCTCCAACGGCCCGTCCCCGCACCCGGACCTCCGGGTTCCCCGTCGGGGTGCCGCTCAGTCGGGCAATGTCGGCGCCTCATTGTCCGTTGGATTGCCGTTTCATCAACCTATCTGGGCTGTTCTTTATTTTTAAGACACTCCAGTCGGCACTAGACACGCATCATCAACGCCTTTGGTGAGGCGTTTCCCGAAACCCATTCACGGCAGTTGAGAGTGACATGAGTGGCTCCAAGCGTCTTGCAGTGCCGTGGCTGAGCACACAACGCTAGGCATTTTGTCAAATACACTACTTTGTATCCGCGGATCGCCAGGGCAACCCTGGTTTCGTCATTTCTGTCACTGAAATGGAAGCACTTGAGTGGTGGATACTGACGCAGAACACGTAACCATCACCATCACGAACTTCTAGAACACTTCAGTTTTGAGCTCCCCTGAACGGTTGGTTTCTTTCTAGCGAGGCCCCTTGGATGCGACTCTGAAACTGTCACAGATTGGCGCTAACAAGACAGGCCCCTTTCTGTCCTGCAGATGGCCATGATCATCATCATTTGTGTTTCATGAACTTTGAGAGCTTCGTAAATTGGTGTTGATAAAAGGCCAGGACAAGGGCCGGATCGTGTCTCGTCGAAGGTCGGCCTTTTCAAGGTGGAGACTGCAGAGCGTAAGAACGTAGTCCCGGATCTGCCCTGGACTCACTGTCGTTCAATGATCTAGAAGCCTCAATCTCGATGACTCCAAAACGACCTTCCCGGTAATGTGTCGTCAGTACAGTCTCTTAACTTGCTGTGCAAGCCAACTAGAGGTAGGTATAGGATGATTTCAAGCACTTGTGTAAAAGTGGACGGATCGATGTTTTCCTGGGTCTGAAATTAGGGTGAGGAACGCAATATCAGGGTTACCGTGACCTACAGGAACAATCTAGGGTTAAGCTCGAGAAAGAACGACACCATACCCGCTTGGCTTCACGTGCGTCTTATCTTATCGTAAAGCCCACAATTAGCCGGCTTGGCAAGTCTCGTCAGCGGCCGCACGAGCCACCCCCTCACTGGTCCCTTGGATCAAGTCCCTGATCCTGACCATTAAAAAGACGAACTCCAACATCAGATATGAACAGCTATTTTACAGAACGGTCTAGCATGCCATGATATTGTTGGTAAAGAAGGTGAGTTATCATATTCAATACTGGCATTTCCACATGGCCGGGTCGTGGAGCCATTCCGGGTCGTGTAAGCGCACTATACCTTCTACAGCGTGCGGTCAGGTAAGCTTCTGTCTCCAATATAACTGAAGAATCGGGAACGTGTCCTTTTGCCGCAGAGAGATAATGATGGGATGGAATTGATGAAGCCAACGAAAGGGACGAGAATGCCCAGCGCCGCGGGCCCCGAGTGTTGACTAAGACAGCGCCGCTAGAGCGCCCGAATCGGGGAATTTGTGGTCCGTCGACGACCTGTAGCAACCAATTGGACGACCCCGAATCTGTTGAAGTTGAGAGGTTGTCGCCAACAACACATGTGCTGGATTCTGGATGGCGGCGAATTTGGCCAAGTTCGGACCGCCTGCGTTCCGCAACGGAGGTGTCACTGCTCCGGTCGGTGCTTCTGGTTTGTCTGGGCAATCGCATCCAGCCTTGGCCTTTTTTTTGCCGGCGGCCGGCCCAAGCCAAAGGGAACTGTCCAGACAGAGTGTCCATCCCGCAGTCTGCAGCTACACTACTAGTTAAATAAAATCTGTCGCGATCCATCATCATCTCCGTGACTCCGTCTCTTTGCCAACGCAATCCATCTACCGCCAGTTGCGCATATTCTTCCCGTTGATTCTTTGTTGTCGACACCCAACGTCGTCAACGTCGTTTATTTGGTTATAGTCTTTTCTAATCTCTCCGCCCCGCGGTCAAACATATTCACAATGGGTCTCTCCCCGCAAATGTAAGAAACACGACCGCCTGCCGAACGCGCGAACAACGTGCCGCCGTGTCCTCGACGTCGGGTCGCGATCGGGTATCGGATTCCAGTTACTAACATATGTGTACAGCACCAACCTGATCATCATCCTTGGTATGATGCAGGTCGCCAAGAAGATTCCCTTCGAGGACCCCAACGTTCTCAACCTCTGCCGCGCTCTTTACGCGCTCAGCAATGTCATCATCCTCTGCATCCACCTCTACATCATGAACACCATCAACAAGAAGAAGGGTATGTCGCGCTTCCTCTCCCTCGAGAGAGACGTGAATTCACAGTCTGCTAACTTTGGTCTCTCCACAGACCTCACCACCCTCAAGTACGTTGAGCCGGCGCCGATGGGTTCCACTGAGGAGGGCAAGCTCGTCACCACCACTATCCACGCCTACGATCTCGCCCAGTCCAAGCAGCTCCTGCGCTCCCAGATGATGGGCGTCTTCATGATGGGCGTCATGCACCTCTACTTCAAGTACACCAACCCCCTCCTCATCCAGAGCATCATCCCCCTCAAGGGCGCCTTCGAGTCCAACCTTGCCAAGATCCACATCTTTGGCCAGCCCGCCAGCGGCGACCTCAAGCGTCCCTTCAAGCAGTCTGCTGGTCTGATGGCCGGTCTCCAGGGCGGCGCTGCTCAGAGCGACAAGAAGGCTGTTGAGGCTGCCGAGCGTGCTGGCCGCGGTGGCGCCAAGGAGGAGTAAAGCGATTCAAATCAATCGCCTTTGGAAATGCTGCATGGTGCAGGAAGAAGAAAAAAAAAAAAAAAAGGAAGGGAAACAGGTTATACACGACCGTGCCGGCTATCATCTGGGCGGGTAATACTTTTGTACCAATATGGCTTTTAAAGCATTGGCAATTTACGTATAGACATGACATCCTTTGGTTCAGGTTAGACGGATGGGCGGTGGTTAATGGGATTAAGCAAATGGCGGATAAGCGAGACAGTCCGCTTAGAAGCCTACGTTGCCAGGACATTGGAGTAGTAAACAATACACTACTATCTGGATTGGCATACTATTTGCTGACTTCAAATGTCCTGTTGTTGTGGATTTGACTACTTTTGTCAGGTTGTCGCCATTGCCGAGGATGTGGCAATACTCTCTGCGGCGGACTCTGGCGCCTTGGAACGAAGCGGCGAAGCAGCATTTGCTTGTTTGGCTGATGCCTGCCGAATCGATCCAAACAGCGTCATCGAGGGGCCGATGCACAGTATTTGCTTTCGCGACACAGCACGTTCTGTGAATGTACTTTTCCCTTCAATAACCATTACCAATTCTTTTCTATGTTTTGTTGAAGATACTTCTGAATGCCTAATATTTTCTGATGACAATTCCCTCTCACAAATAATATAATCAACACTGCGCCACAGCTAGCAACTTCCACAATGGAACGGGCGTCCACTCCTCCAGCTCAAGCGCGCCGATCAACACGATCAACAACCGCAGCACGTCCACCATCACCACCAACTCCCGCTGCCGACAGGCGTCGTATAGTAAGCCACTCCATTCAGCCTGGCTCTATATCCAGTCGCACCAAAATCTAAAAACATAACTAACCAACCGTCTACGTCCACCAGGAAGAATCCCGTCTCCGCGTCAAAGACCTCCGCACCCAACGCGAAGCCGACCACCGCGCCGCCGGCATTCCTCTCCCCTCCGACTCTCTCCCACGCACTGCGTCCGGCATCGCCGCCACCGATGACATCCAGCTAGCCGGCGCCGCCGGTCGCGCGGCGGCGGCGGCGGCCTCTCGCAAGCGTCCGTTCACATCGATCTCGCGAAATGACATACCGGCTAGTAACCGGGACGCTCGCACGGGGACAGGGACCAATGAGAGGAAAGATGGCAACAACGGCAACGGCAACAGCGAAGGGGGAAGCTTGCCCCCCATCTCGCGCAAGTTCACCAAATTCGTCGATTACAACTTTAGCGCCATGACAGACACCAAGGGTGGGTTCCTGTCGTTGGAAGATGATCCGTTCAACAAGCACTTGTCCGTTCCCACGAAGCCGGGACAGCCGTCGGAGCAGGAACAAAAGCCGGCGCACATGACGGCTGCGGAGTGGGAGCGGATGCAGTTGATTCGGAAGTTGCAGCGGACTAAAGCCGGGCCGTACGAGCCGGGATTGAGTGTGCTGACGGATATTAAGGAGACGAAGAAGTGCAGGGAGTGCGGTAGTTTGGAAATCGACTTTGTGTGGGCGGAGACGTTTGGGTGCGCCGTGTGTGGCAAGTGTAAGGAGCGGTGGCCGGAGAAGTACAGTTTGTTGACCAAGACGGAGGCGAAGGAGGATTATTTGTTGACTGATCGTGAGCTATTTTTTTTTTCTTCTTCTGCTGGCTTGCTTGTTTGCCCCTGCTTTACTGGTGATGCAAGATGGTGCGAGTTGCTGACGCTGGTTTGCTACAGCTGAACTCAAAGACCCCGAACTCCTCCCTCACCTCTCTAAACCGAACCCGCACAAATCTCACTGGCACGACATGATGCTCTTTCTACGATACCAGGTCGAGGAATATGCATTTAATGTCAAGTGGGGGTCGGCGGAGGCTCTGGATGCCGAGTTTGAGAAGCGTGAGCAGGACAAGAAGAGAAGGAAGGAGGCCAAGTTCAAGGAGAAGTTGCTTGACTTGAAGAGGAAGACGAGGACAGAGGCGTTTAGAAGGAACACGGGCAAGTTGGGCGGGATAGCAGGGGGAGATGGTGGTGGTGATGGTACTTCAACAGGGAGGAGAGGAAAAGCGACCAAGTTTGGGGATACGATCAATAATGGAGGGAAGCATGTCCATGAATGGGGGAGGACGGTTGAGAATGAGGAGGGGATGACGGTCAAGACGTGTACGACTTGTGGGATGGAGGTTGAGGAGTTGGAGTTTTAGAAGGGCTGGCTATGCTTTGGATTTTGGAGTTGGAGGTTGGAGGAGTTTACTTCACTTGTATACCCATCTTCGTAAAGGTGATGATTTGATCAATGGATGTTACTGTCAACCCAGGTGTATTAAATCTTGACCACTGCAGACAACTGAACCTGAAGGCGCCAAGCTTTCAAGTCGCGGAGCTCCCCTGAGCTTCCCCTGGACATCACCAAGTCCTCGGGTCTGTGCACGGTGCATGTTCCGATCTGTGCTTTCTTTGTTGAGTTTATCATGGCCGACGCGCTGCCCCTGACGCTGGAAAAGGTGATGGCAATTGCGGCCTTGCAGCATCCGAATTCTGTGATTTGGTGTTGTTGAAATAGGAGCCAGCGACACCGGCAAGTCGAGACGATAGATGGCTGTGCAACAGAACTAAGTACTTAAGGGGCAAGCTTGAGGCCTCGGCTTTGGTAACGAATGTTTGACAGGAGCGCCTTTTTATTAATGTCCAAAAGATTTTGAGGTTGAAATCTCATGGCGCTTTCGTTGAAGGAAAAGGAGCGATAATGCGACAGGACAGATAACACGCAGGCCAATAAGATATTGCCATGGTGTGTTTAGTCGCTTCAGCTTCCCAATTGGACGCTGCAAGGACCAAAGCGCGCTTGCCCGTTGCTGCATCGCAATCCCGTCGCTACCACTACAGCAGTCGCAGCGCAGTGCAGCGGGCAGTCGCGAGTGGTGAGCTCCCTCATACCAACCACGCAGTGCGTTTATCCGTCTGCCACCCGCAGGCATCGAGTCCCGTCTGTCTTGGGCTTTTGGCCGAGTGGCAGCCCACTTTGCTCGTTGGAGTGAGACCGGAGCTACCTCTAGGTTGGTTGAGTGGTTCGTACGCGCATCATAACGGAACCTTGGTTTGAACCACCATCGCGAATCCAGGGACTCGCCATCATCTCTTTTTTTTCTTTTCACGTCTTCGCTTTTTATCCCATGTCTTAGCATACCCCAACGCAACCAGGACCTTTTTGCAGATCAGGGTCACTCCTCCCGCTTTTTCAAGCCGCCGCGGATCAATCGACGGCGCCATCCCCCCCTTGTGGCTTTCACTTCTTCTAATTCCAGCCAAGGCACGCAGATACGTAGCGTAGCTGGCCGACGAACGGATCGCATTCGATACACTACCGCGACGTAACGACCTTCGACTGCCCGACTGCCACTTCTACTTGCTTTGCTTTTCTAGCCTCGCACTACGCACCCGACTACCTGCCCACCTACCATCACACCGCAAACAAACCAAGGGGGAGACGAGGGTCCACGCGGTCCCTCACCAGCTCAGCACCACTTGTCGACGCTGTGCGCTCTGACGATCGTCGTCCGGCTGGAATCTCCCACGTCAATTGCTCCTCCCCTCGATTGCTTAGCCGCCGACCGACCACGCCAGCCTCGCTTCTTATCGTCGCGAAAAGCTTCGCAGGTTTAAGCTGTCGCTTCGACCACCCAAGATCGCACAGCTATGAGCACCAACGGCGTTCATGTCTCGTTTGGCGCGGGCCATGAGATGGGCGGGGTAATGGGCAATGGCTCTGGTCAGCCGCCCGCGACCGAGTATACACTCCAAGGTTAGTCGGTTCAGGCACCAGACCAAACTACTTCGTTGTCAGGGCTAACACTCGTCATGCAGGTGTCATGCGCTTCCTCCAGACAGAGTGGCACCGTCATGAGCGCGACCGCAATGCCTGGGAGATCGAAAAGCAGGAGATGCGCGCGAGGATAGCGAACCTCGAGGGTCAGGCCAGGAGAGCAGACGCGACACAAAAGGCACTCAAGCGATATGTCTCGATACTCGAAAAGAAGGTCAAGGAGCAGAGCGCTGCCCTAAAGTCTACTGGTAAAGAGAAGGGAGCTGAGGATGATGCTGAGGCGGAGGCCAACAAATCCAAGCTTGACCGGTCCGCCCTCATACAGGAAAAGTTGCGCCGTAAGCACACTTCTTTCATCCTGTCTGCTGGCACGTTCTGACACATCCTCACAGCAAACACAAAGCTCTCCGGAGCCCCTAACGAGGCCGAGAACATCGAGATCGGTCCTCTAGACGACGAATCCGCGCGCAACGAACTCAAAACTTTCCTCGATCAGTGTCAGGCCGAGTTTACTTATCTGATGGTGACGCCAGCCAACCCGCAACCACCACGAGAATCCCCGCCCCTGCCTATCCTAGACGACTTCCGCGAGGGTGAAGCCATGAACCAGCAGCTTGAGCAGTCCTACCAGCGTTCTCAACAAAGCCAGATTCGGGACCTGCTTGCCCAGCAGGCTGCTGCTGCTAATGCTACTACGACTGCTGCCGCTCTGCAGAATCAGCAGCAGCAGCAGCAGCAGCAACAACAGCAACAGCAACAGCAACAGCAACAGCATGTAGCTGGACCACGGCCGCAGACTAACCAGCCACCGAAGGGATATGGCGAACTGCAAGGAGCGCCTATGGAGCGTTCATCCAGAGGACAGCAGCTACACGATATCCTGAAGAGTGGTGAAACCCCCGACTGGTCAGCTTCGATGCAATCTCAGCCAGCCGAAGAGCCAACTTCTGCGCTCAGCAAGGCGCCTCCGATGGTTAGGGGAGATGGACGTGAGCCGGCTGCCCCAAAATCTGCCTCGACCACGGATGCATGGGACTTTAACGAATCCAACTTCCAGGATCCTACCGCGATGACACAGCCGACCCCGCAACAGTCTTTTTCCAGCAGGCCTGACACGGATGCCTTCCCCAGCGCCGAGAACCTGACCAAGTCTCCTAATCGTGGAGCGCTCTCCCACCGAAGAAAGAGCTCGAGCGGTATGGCGCGTAGACGGAGCGCCGAGCACGAGCTTTCGCTTGGGTCCCTGAACCAGAAGGCAGAGGGTGCGATGTTCAAATTCCGCTTTGGCTTGCGCGGTCATCTGGATGTGGTACGGACTGTTATCTTTTCGGGCGGCGGAAGCCCTGGCGAGCCAGAGATCTGCACGGCGGGAGACGACGGCTTGGTCAAAAGGTTCCATATTCCTGACAGGCACATTGGCCAACGAAATGCTGATGGAGATCTTGATGTTGCGGCGGACTTTACACATCGCGGCCATAGTGGGGCCGTGTTGTCTCTTACGTCTTGGTCGCCATCCCCCAACTTCTCTACCGGCGGTCGTGCTCAGGGTGATGGTTGGATTTTCTCTGGTGGCCAAGATGCCACGATTCGCGTGTGGGAAAGAGGAAGGGTTGACCCCAAGGCCACCCTAGATGGCCATACCGACGCTGTTTGGGCACTTTGCGTCTTGCCCACGAACCTGGGTGCCATTTTCGGTCAGACCAATAGCCATGGTCCACCCGATAGGATTCTGTTGGTGTCTGGAGCGGCGGATGGGACTGTCAAGGTATGGGCTGTCAGCGCACCTCCTCAACTCACGTCGCCCCAACCGGGACCAGGTCGTCGTGGGCCAGGCGGACGTGTTCGGGGTAACTCCATGAGCTCTGGCTCCGCATTCCCCAGCTCGCCACAGCCGACCACAGCATCCAACTCTCCCTTCCATCATACGCTTGTGCATACCATTAAGCGGGCCAACTCGGAGGCTAGCCCGACGTGCATTACTGCCCTCAGTCCCAATGGTGAGACTTTTGCTGTCAGCTACGCGGATGCCGCCATCATTGTCTACGACACCCGCAGCGGAGAGGAGATTGGAACGATGGCGAGCTTGGATACATATGACGGCACCATCAACACCGCCGTGAACGCTGTTGTAGCGACAACTGTTGGATTGGATCAAACACAAGGCCCCGGTGGTGAAGATGAAACTGGTGGTGGGCCTACCGGGGGCGGCCGGTCCATGGCGGGCTCTGGCGTGGAGGGTACCATCATTTCTGGCCATGAAGATCGCTACATTAGGTTCTTTGACGCCAATAGCGGTAAGTTCTGCTGTCTCCTGAGCGTATGCGTGCGTACTCAAGACTAACATTCTCTCAGGTCAATGCACATACAACATGCTAGCCCATCCAGGATCCGTCTCTAGCCTTTCTCTCAGCCCCGACGGCCGCGAGCTCGTCAGCGCCGGACACGACATGTCGCTGCGCTTCTGGTCCCTCGAGACAAGGTCATGCACGCAAGAAATGACTTGCCATAGGAGCATGCGCGGCGAAGGTGTCTGCGCCGTTGTATGGAGTCAGGACGGAAAATGGGTGGTTAGCAGTGGTGGAGACGGCATGGTCAAAGTGTACGCGAGGTAGTAGTAGTAGTAGTAGTAGTAGTTGCCGTCTGTGTCACGATCCGAGAGATGAGGATGTATGACTTGGGCCTCTTCCTTTTCGGCCCATTGTGTATAATGAATTCCTATTTTTGGGGGGAGAGGAGATGGGAGTAGGGGGGGGTATTGTTTATTAGCTGCTTACTTTTATCATCCTCTTCTTTTTTGGGGGAGGGGGTTCTTCCTTCTTGCCCTGTTAGTATGTATCACACATTCGCTCATTGCGTTTCCCGGCCGGAGCCGCGCCGCCGTTTCCTTTGTGGTTTTTTTTGTTTTTCTTTGTTTTTTTTTCTCCAACGTCATTGCTAGCTATACCACGTCACATTAAACATGGATGAGCATCAAGCGGATATCGTTTCCAATTTGCTTTTTGGGGGAGGGGGGGGGAGGATTTCGGTGGGATGGAGGAAAAGTAGAAAGAGGGGGGGGGGGGGGGGGGGGGGGG